TGCACGTTCAAAGTCATTACTTGGCGCTGGTGTAATAACTTCGAGCAGGAATGCACTAAGTGCATGATTTTTAAATCTACAACAATTGCAATAAATGTTATTACGACATATTATTTTCTGATCGATCACAAAATATTGTGACATTAGGACAAACCTCCATATCCGCCGTACTCTCCGGGATGAGCGAATATGACAGTTGCGGCGGCATAAAAATTTCGAATATCCAGTATTCCTTCGACGAAGTCGTTGAAGTTAAGATGCATACTTTGATTTTTCGCATTTGCAAAACCAAGTAGCATTGAGCACATTAAACAGATCGGAAATAATTTCATTTTATCGTCAACTAAAAGATCGGATACGAGTTTGTATTAGCGCGACCGATAGAGACCGACTAAATGAACAAAACATTCCGCGAAATGAAATAAATACTTCTGTACTGAACCATGCGGGGGTAAGTGCAGGGACGTAGGTGCGTATCGAGAAATAGATAGAATTGCAATATGAAAGATTTGGAGGAACTTTAGCTGAAGTAAAACGCGAATATATAGTTTTTTGTGTTATGTACATTATTTGAAAATAAGAATTACCTCTTCGCGCGTTTTGGAAATATTTTTAACTAAATGATTAATTTTTCTTAAGTCTAAAAATACGTATATTTAGTGTCAAAATGTAATGTACAATTATCATAAGTTACATATGTCTAGTTATCAGAAATAAAGGTTGAACCAGAAAAATTGAATAATTTTATATTGTAATGTGTAAAAATTCATATATTGTTAAAGTTGTAGATACTAAGTGAAATGAGATTTATTGTGTTTTTGGATTAGATTACCGCGTCAGAGTCACTCAGAGCAAGACATACGAATATAATAATAGGGATGTGGCATACCCACATCTCCATTCTATCTTTCTGCAATTGTCAATTAATTAGTATGTCAACAAATTTTTAAATTCCTAGGCACGAAGCATTTTATATACGATCCTGCCGTGGTAATGGTGGAAGTGCACATTTTAATTTATATAATATCGGACAATAAGTATGTACGTTTTACAAATGCGTAGCGAATGACATCAGTTCCATTAGAATATTAGAAAGCAATTTCATTTATATCGTCGCTAAATGATGGTTCATAACACAATGAATCAGTGGAAATTAACAAAACGTGTGTAAGTTTTGTGCAAAGTGAAACCAATATGTTCTTTGGTGAGTAATGCGGAGATAATGCAGGGATGTAAATATGTTTGTACAAAACAAGTGTTTTACGACTGTACAAAATTGAAGAAAACAAAGTGCAAGCATTAGAATTTCTGTAGTAGAATCAAGTATGTTCTTCTTTTTTACATCATTATTTAATGCTGTTTATTAATTTTATCGGTTTTTTTATTTTGTAACATCATATAATATAGATAGGAGCTGTTACTATTACTTCTAACTGTTACTACTTATTGTTAGGCAAACAGTACAGTACAAACAATTGTGCGTTTCAAATAATTGTTTTGATTGTCAGCTCTTTATTACCGACTTTTTCTTGAACAATAGAATACACTCTTTGAATACAGTTTATTTTTTGCATATTAATAAGTATATTAATAAATATATTAATAAATCGTTTCTATAATTAGTATAATGACACCTAATATGATGCCTCCGCAGAGAATTGCCAGTATTGGGATTACATTAATTACATGAACTGGTTCGTAAGCCTTGTGTTCGCTTTTTTGCATAAAAGATCTCATATCTTTTAAGCGCATTAACATGCCGTTATCCAAGAATTTCTGTAAACTGAAACACACGATTTCTGTTATTTGGAATGATAAATACGATAATTCTGTAAATGAAAGAGCACACAAATTTATTACAGCCAAAACATTTGTTTTAAATAATAAAAACAGTGTTCAACACTGATAAGGCTTCCGAACTTGATAAAAGCAATAATTAGCAGTGAATTTTTACCTAAAAAAAGTATTATTGTGATCGTATCAATAATAAATTTCTATAAGGGAAGTTAAACATGCACACATGTGCAAAATATACATGATACAATGTAAGTATCCTTTTTATGACACGTACTGATAATTTATTACGCCTGTGTATTGATTGTCTTTAGAAAGAACAATTCCTATGTTATCTATTGTTTCCGTGCTAATACTAGATAGTTTACATGGAATCTTCGTCTCCATGTTTTCCTTTAAAGCGTTCAGCACCAAATAAGCAACTTTCTCGGTACATATCTAGGAAGTGCGCGTAACGAATAAATAATAATTATACAATGATTAAGTTTTTTAATTCTACGACACATTGATACGACAATAGTGATTGTACTTGCATGAAACCATCAATTATGGACGCTGGCAGGTCGCTTTCATTTTTTATTACTTTCATCATTTGTTTTGAGAAAGATTCATTCGAAGTCTGAAATACAAAATTCTCTTGTAACGTAATACTTATTAATACATTGAATATCTGAATACATACTGAATTACTTGGCAGACATTATATATAGGTGCACTAGTTTAATATTACAATATGTCATATGCACTAGCCTTAGCTTCAATTGTTATAGAACAGAAGTGTAATAGTTGGTATGTTGATTATTACATGAACTCACAACAAATATGTTGTAATCGGCGCGTTGAACTACTAATTTGTATGAGCCGTCTTTGATCAATTCGTCTACTGTTTTAAAAGGTAAAATATGAGTGCATGACGTCAAAAAACAAACTAATGCCGCTGAATAATGCGCCATTATTAATACTGCCGTTACAAATATCGTGAAGTACGCAATTCGCATTGACGAACATGTTGGAAATTCTGGAGCACAAAATCAAATTTATAAGTGTAAGTTTTTTATATATTTGAAAAAAATGTACATATTTTATATACACAATAAATTTATTTGACTTTTGAATAAGTGTATATGAAGTAAAGTAGTATTGTGAAAAGTTTAGTTGTTTTTTTTTAGTTTTCCTACTCAAAAAATATTATAGCTTCGACATTTTGGTATTAGGATTTTTGTCTTACAATGATCTACTGGTAAAAGGAAATATAGTAGTTGCGGAACACCTTATACATATGTATACATGTTCAATAAAGTTTTTATTGTATTACCTATAAGTCCTTGCTGGCAGAAGATACCCCAAATGTAGAGAAAATTGTCAGAAAGCAGTTGCAATCTATTTTGAGATTTGAAGGACACTTTCATCAAATACAACAGAATCGGTGTAATCGCGATTACAGTAATAATCGCAGCCCAAGTGTGTATATGAAAAGTCTAGTAGACAATCAAAGAGAAATGCCAAAGTTAGTAATTTAACTAAATTAAGTTCGAATATATGACTAATTCTGCTTCATAGAGATAAATTATATAAAAAGAATTAAATTGATATGATCACATAAATATAAACATTATATAAGCGAATGAAGATAATATTAAATAAACACATTAATTAATATTTAATACCTGGAAATAACTAAACCACTTGACGTCGCACATTCCCGGATCTTTGAAAAAGAAACTGACCTTAGATATTACCAAAGGAAGCGTGAAATCCGCATCGCGCACTCGAAGACTCGTCATCGACATAATGGCGATGGCGATATCTGCGCGACCCGACACAATCTCACCCATCACTCCGGACCAAGTTCCATTTTGATGATTCCATATTCCATGCTCCTCCATGTCAGATACGATATCGAGAGTAAAATTGAGAGTATGTGTAAGTTCTTCCACTACTTTTTCGAACAATTTGGCTATGAAGTTTTCAGTTTTTCCGACGTACTTGCTCGACATCGGCATGTCCTAAAAACTCGATCAAATCAAGTTTTACATATAGAATATTTGTATTTAGAACAATTACGTATATATATTTATGAGTACCAATTAATTTTACTTTTTAACACACAAGTATAAACTTAATAGAAATGTTTTACACAGCTTAGTATATAACAATATTAAAAAAATATTATTTCTTTCTGTGTACGAAAAAATTGTATACTTTTTTTCTAATATTTCTTATCTATTAGTTATTTTACTTATTAAATTGCTTTTTCGCACTTTGACAGTGGCGGTTCGCAAAACAGTCCCGTTCAAATCGTTTCTGCGATCGTAAAAAGCTAGTTTTGTCAAGGGAATGAATCTGTCATTTTCCCATTTCGCAATATCAAAGACCTTCGTGGTCTTGCCGTTGATCGAATACCATTCTTGCAGGATACTCGCATTGTGACACAATACTAGCATCTGCGTGTCGAACCGCAAGTTGAACGGATTGCCTATCGGATAGTGACAATGATCGTGCGCATCGTTGTCAGGTGTGAANAGAAACAGCACAAACCACGACGGAAAAGACATGGGATAGGTTTTGGTTGCCTCCTTAAATTCCAAATATGACTCGAAAGTGGGCATAATAGCAACAATAATGGGCTGCACTATTCGATTTTGGTATCTGAGAGATCTCCACATTTTNTTGAAGTGCACGTTCAAAGTCATTACTTGGCGCTGGTGTAATAACTTCGAGCAGGAATGCACTAAGTGCATGATTTTTAAATCTACAACAATTGCAATAAANGTTATTACGACATATTATTTTCTGATCGATCAAAAATTATCGTGACAGACCTCCATATCCGCCGTATTCTCCGGGATGAGCGAATATGACAGTCGCGGCGCCATAAAAGTTCCGAATATCCATTATTCCTTCGACAAAGTCGTTGAAGTTAAGATGGATATTGTGATTTTTTGCATTTGCGAAACCAAGTAGCATTGGGCACATTAAATAGATCGGAAATAATTTCATTTTAACGTCAACTAAAATATATGAGTGTGTAGTAGCGCACGGCAGAGACCGATAAAGACCGACTAAATGAGTAAACATTCCGCGAAGTGAAATAAATACTTCTCTACTGAACAATGCGGGGGTAAGTGCAGGGACGTAGGTGCGTATCGAGAAATAGAATTGCAATATGAAAGATTCGGAGGATCCTTAGCTGAAAGAAAACGCAAATATAGTTTTTTGTGTTATGTACATCATTTGAAATTAAAAACTACGTTTTTGCGCGTTTTGAGAATATTTTTATACTAAATGATTAATTTGTCTTAAGTCTGGAAATTCGTGTATTTATATATAGTGTCAAAACGTAATGTGCAAGTATCATAAGTAACGTAATGTTTAGTTATCAGAAGTAAAGGTTGAACCAGAAAAATTAAATAATTTGATACTGTAATGTGTAAAAATTCATATATTGTTAAAGTTGTAAATACTGAGTGAAATGAGATTTATTGTGTTTTTGGATTAGATTACCGCGTCAGAGTCACTCAGAGCAAGATATACGGATGTAAATATAATAGCGCATAACCACATCTCCACTCTATCTTTTTGCAATTGTCAATTAATTAGTATGTCAACAAATTTCCAAATCCCCGTATCGAAGCATTTTATGTACGATCCTGCTGTGTTAATGTTTGAAGTGTACATTTTAATTTATATAATATCGCACACAATAGATATGTACGTTTTACAAATGCGTAGTGAATGACATCAGTTCCATTAGAAAATTACTGTTGTTTTTGTACATGGGATGTGGTGTCAGTCAATAATAGCGCGATGGTTCCAGAAAATTTAAATTTATTACAACCATGTACTTGTTTTTATTCGGTGCGAGCGAGACGGAAAACTTGGTTACATACATATATAGTAACAAAAATCGATACAAAGAAGTTTCTGTCTCCTTCTCGATAAAGTGAACATGACTTGCATATATATATCGATAAACTTGTACTACGTAAGTGTAACCGCGTCGATATTCTACGTAAATATTCTACATATAAAAAGAACAAAAAAACAATTAATAGAGATATTCTGATCTCACCTCAAACTGTCATATGTCGATTAAATATATCAAGCGCTGTAAAAAGCTACTTTACTTTGATGTTTACTTTGAGTCAAGTTGCAAGATAGATATTTATTAGCGGCTTATATTTATATAGAAGTTGTTGCTGTTTCACTACTTAAGAGAAAAGTACAGAAATTTGTCCATAGAATCGCGAGAAAGAGAGTGTCAAACAACTTTTATTCTTATTTCTTCACAAACGGTCGTTTTCTTGAACGATAAAAAATTCTCGATTGAAGTTTCGTTTTCTTGTATCGGTAATAAGTGGTTTCGATAATTAGTACAATGACACTTAAAATAATGCCTCCACAGAGGATCGCCAATATTGGAACAACGCTAATTACATGAACCGGCTCGTAAGCTTTATTTTCGACCTGTTGCATTAAATATTTCATATCTTTTAAGCGCATCATCATGCCGTTATCCAAAAATTTCTGCAAACTGAAACACACGATATCTGTTACACTCGAACTAAAAAAGACACTTGCGAAAGGTGTCCATCAAATAAATTAAATATCAAACAAGCAAATCAAACAAGAAATGTTATGTGACAAAAAATGTAAATGTAAATTATAATTATTTTACGACACATACTGATAATTTATCACGGCTGTGTACGGATTGTCTTTCGAGAGAACCAGTCCCAGGTTATCTATTTTTTCCGTGCTAATACTAGATAGTTTACACGGAATCCTCATCTCCACGCTTTTCTTCAAAGCGTTCAGCACAAAATAAGCCACTTTCTTTTCAGTACATAACTGAAAAGTGAATGTAACGAATAAATAATGAATTACATTAACTCTATTATTCTTTGAATAAAACTTTTTATCTCAATGTAAATTGCATTGTCATTGAGAAATTATATCATTGGTATATTATCGATACAAAAAAACTAATATAATAAATATCATACTTGTACGAAGCCGTCGATTAAAGACATCGGAAGTTCGGATTCTTGCTTCATTACCGTCATCATTTTTACTGAGTAAAATTCTGACGAAGCCTGAAACGCAAAATCTTCTTGTAAAAATTATCAAATGATGATAAACTGATCATGTTTGATAAAACTCACAGCAACTACGTCGTAATCGGAACCGCCGCGTGGGACTATTAATTTGTAAGTACCGTCGTTGAGAAACTCGTCCATTGTTCGGAAAGGCAAAACGTGAGCGCACGACGTCAGAAAACAAACTAAAGCCGCTGAATAGTACGCCATTATCAATATTGCCGTTAAAAATATTGTGAAGTAAGCGACTCGCAGCGACGAATATTTTGGAAACTCTAAAGCGGAAGATCAGATGTACATGCAGTTGTAACATAACACATTTTGTTTGATTTTTCTTACATAATATAATAATTCAGCAAAAGAAGTAAAATTGCAAAAGAAAGAGAGAGAAAAATATTTCGTGAATATTTGATTAAGGAATACTATATATAAAATATTCTTTTCAAACGTTGCTAAATTGTCTAGCAGTATATATAATACCTATAAGCGCCTGCTGGCAGAAGATACCCCAAATGTAGAGGAAATTGTCAGAAAGATTCGAATTATCTTGAGATTTGCTACATAATTTCATCAAGAACAACAGGATCGGCGTGCTCGCGATTACGGTAATAATCGCAGCCCAAGTGTGTATATGAAAAGTCTGTTACACAATCGAATGAGAAGGAAGAAACATTGTTACTTATGAGACTGAGTTAAGTTTGAATTACACATATTTGAATAAACTCGATTTTTGAGAAATAAGAGAATTCTATACGAGATTAAACGAGAAGACAGTTAAATGTATCAATCGCTATTTAATACCTGGAAATAACCGAACCACTTGACACCGCATAATTCCGGTTCCTTGAAAAAGAGGCTGCTCTTGGATATTATCAGAGGCAATGTGAAGTCGACGTAGCGCACTCGGAGGCTCGTCATCGACATATCGGCGATGGCAAAATCCGCGCGACCCGACACTATCTCGCCTATCGCTCCGGACCAGGTTTTATTTTGAGGATTCCACATTCCGTGCTCATTCACCTCGGATACGATGTCCAGAGTAAAATTGAGAGACTGCGTAAGCTCTTCCAATACTTTTCCATACAAACTGGACACGTAGTTCCCGCCGAACGTCGATGAAATTGGCACGTCCTGATTTCGATCCACATAGAAAATCGCAAATTTTTCCTATAGTTGTTTTTAGGTGGTATTTCTTCTTAGCAAGTGTAAACTTGGAACAACAATTTTATTTGATAAGAAAAATTATATTTATTTTGCTTCTTTTAAGCGTCGAGTGAACACTTCATGTAGTTAATTATCTTAGTAATTAAAATATTTATTATCGTACCTTAACTGTGACGGTTCGCAGAACAGTTCCGTTCAGATCCTTTCTGCGATCGTAAAGAGATAGTTTTGTCAAGGGAACAAATCCTTTGTCATCTTCCCATTTCGCCACATCGAAGATCCTCGTAGTTCTGCCCTTGATCGAGTACCATTCCTGCAGGATGTCCGCTCTGTTACACAATACCAGCATCTGCGTGTCGTATCGCAAGTTGAACGGATTGCCTATCGGATTCTGGCAATGATCGTGCGTGTCGTTGCCGGGTGTGAAGAGAAACAGCACGAACCACACCGGAAAAGACATGGGATAGGTATCGGTTGCCTTCTTAAATTCCAAATACGACTCGAAAGTGGGCATAATAACAATAACAATGGGCTGAACTATTCGATGATAGTATCTGAGAGATCTCCACAGTCTTCTGAAGTGCACGTCCAAAGTCACCACGTAGTGCTTGCCCAACAACTTGGAGGAGGTATGCACCAAGTGCGTAATTGTTAAATCTGCAACAATCTCAGAAATTTAACAGAAGCAATCAATATTTTGCGATCAATCAAAAAATATCCCGTAATTCGAACTGACCTCCGTAGTCGCCGTACTCGTCTCCGGGATGGGCGAATACGACAGTCGCGGCGGAATAAAATTTCCGAATGTCCAGTATCACTTCGACGAAGACGTTGATGTTAAAATGCATAGTTCGATTTTTTGACTGTGCGAGCACAAAAATTAACATTGGGCATATCAGACAAAAAGGAAGCAATTTCATTTTGTGTCGTTGCTGAATGATCGAGGGTTTGTAACGAGACGGACCAATGGAAAACAACGAAACGTATAAAATTTCCGTGCAAAGTGAAACAAATATATTTTTTATTAAGTAATGCGGTGATAATGCAGGGATGTAGGTATATCGCGGAATAGTGGAAAGTAACAAACGAAGAGACTCGCGAACGAATTTTGCAGATTGGATTATAAATTTTTTTTATTTTGTCGATTTAAATTGAAAACTGTCACACATTGTGTCTTAAACATTGTTTTCTATCAAACGGTCGATCAATTCTGGAAATAAATGCATTTAGTGTCAAATGTAACACGTAATTTTTTTAGTTATTACAAAAAAATTCAAATCAGAAAAATTTGATAATACGATAAACTAGTGTCAAAACAATACTTACATGATTTGATAAATTCAAACCGCGTTTCATTTTGTTTGATTAGATTATCAGGTGAGTCAGTCTCACAGCAAAGATAACACATGGATGTAAACATATGTGTAAAACGAACTTTCCGTCTTGCCAATTCCGTTTCATTTTTAACCGTTTATTTTCTTTTTTTAATTGTCGCCAAACTCCGAATCAAGTGTACAAATTTCAAAATCTCGAAGCGTAGCAACTCACGCTTCACATCCGATCCTGACACGCCAATATAGAAAGTGCACATTTCAATTTATAATACATTAGATGTACTCTACAAACACGTGACGACCAATATCAGTTCCATTAGAATATTACGATTAGAAACGATTAACCGATCTCATCTCAAACTGCTGTTTGCGTCGGAATAAATGCCATATTGCGATATGTGTCGGCTGACAGACAATACAATCGTATATAAAATATGATCCTCCTTCATTTCCGTCAAAAATCTCACGAAGTAAAATCATCACAAATACTCGCATTACATACGTATACAAAATTTGTTAAATATTTGCAATGTAATTCTCTTGCTTCATAAATAAGTTTCATAAATAAGTTTTGAACATCAATTATGTCAAGAAGAGACGGTAATTTTTTAAAAGCAAGAAAAAGTGATACATCTAATAATAAATAATACTACTACTTTAATACATATACACGTGAATCTGCTTAGAATAATTTTTCGGAGCGCATAAATTTGCATACGAGATGATTCATCGATCGATAGAGTCGAGAGCGCTGGAGGTCTTCAATTTAGCTTTGTAACGAAGTGTCAGTGAGTGACTCGGTGAACACTGCGGTCGTGCGAATGACTAGCCTTGATAATTCTAGAACGATGGATCTGTTATTTAAAAAATTTTTCACGTTAATACACACGTTAATAGTAATGCACTAATGCTGCTTTTCTATCGTCAAAGTGTCACGCATTTGTCGATAATAGCAAAACGCTGCGTTGTTCATTGTTCTTATCGCCGGCTTATCGTTATTTTATTTTTTGTGTAATGCGCGCAAAGTTATACGCGTACGTCCCGTCGACAGACAAGTCTGGAAAACGTGACTCTCCACGTCATGCTTACAAAATAACCGCGAGTGAACGCACCTTTCGCCGTTACTTTCTAGACGATTCTAGATTCTTACGTACTCGGCGATACTTTCCGAGTGTCTCCTGCAAAATAATATAAATGTTTAACGAATAAATCTTGTTCCTCCGAGAGAAAGAAAAAATACACATATTTGCGTATAAAGTGGTTTTTAATTAAATTTTGCGTATAAAGTAGTTTTTAATTAAATTGTCTATATATTCATTTGTATTGTTATAACAATGTTGACATTTAGTGAATAATCGGAAACATTTTTTACACAAGAATTGTGGTAACAAATTACGTATTTTTAAAAGTCACTCCACTATTTTTATTTTTTTTTAATATTTTTCATTTGTTTAATATATGTTTCTTCTTTATCCTAGAGAAAATTTGACATCTTGTTTTTCATTAAAAAATACATTACACTTTCTTTTAGACATTCTATCTTAACAAATCAATAAAAACTCTTCTTAAATAAAATCAGAAACAGCAAAGGTAGACCAATACGATCAACAAATGGATCAGTTTATTGAAAAAAAAAAGAATTTTGTACCTTGACAAACTGTTTTTGCTCGTAATGGTCAGCTTTTGTGTTGTTCCTAATTCTATTTTAAATATCTTTTAAAACTCTTGTAAGAAATAAGTCAAGAGACTCTGAGAGCGTTCAACGTAAAAATTTAATTAGTTTAAACTCGAAAAATTGATTAATGAAAAACGTGTGACGTAACTGTTGCGCAAGTTGAAACGATGCTGCCGCTAGCGTCGTGAATCATTCTTACAATAATTATCGCGATCGCCAGTCAAAATAAGCAGTCTCATTCAAACATGGCGCCGCGCTTTCCTTTGTTCAAATCATCGCTTAAGCAGAACTTCGTTTTCTTACATCTCGCTATTGAAGTAACCTTATATCATAAATAAAATGTTTCTCATCGACATGTTTTAATTTGAAGTTACAAGTAAAATAAAAATTATCGAGAAATATTGGCTCAAGACAATTGCCAGCAACGCTCAATTGACTTCATGTGCGGTGACGCCGGAAGTGAGTAAGGCTTAGTGTGTATTGCGCATTGTTGCGCCGCCATGATAAATCGTATGTAAATATCGATCGCGTATAAAAGCAAGTGACGATCTCGTTGGCTCATCAAATAAGAACAAACCTTCACGGAGTGCGCGTCGATTGTGCGACATTTCCTCGATATCGTTTGACTTCCTTCGACATTCCTTGATTTTCAACAATTAGTAAAGCGTAGTGACAAGAAGCTGAAGAAAATGTCCAAGCTGAACTTCAAAGCGTATTTGGTAAACGAGGCGGATCCGTCTAGCACGGAAATACGCAGATTCTGCATCGACGCCGATGTCGCGATAAATTTTTTGTATCTGCGTGAAAAGCTGCAAATTGTGTTCCCGGAACTGCGAGGAAAACATTTCAACGTTATGTGGAAAGGTGAGTCCGATGTTCTTGTTTTTTTAATTTTTGAGCAGTTCGCTGATAAAACGTGACAGCTGTTGGTAATCTCATTAATAAAACTCAATAATAGATAAGCACAATTGATTCTCCATCGCAAAAACCTTATCATTATATATACTTGAATTTTTTGTCTTGTTTTACATTGAAACATTTAAAATGTTTACTCTTATACATGATTTATATTGTGACGGACACAAAAAAGTGTCACGTCCGCCTTATATGAGTGACACTTTTTGTGTCTGTCACAATATATATAAGATGTTTTATTCTAAGTAATCAATTATCTTGAGGAAATAAATATATAAAATATTTCCAAGAAAAATATTCCATATAACATTTTAATTGCATTATATAGCAATGTAATGTGACTTTAGATAGCATTGTAAGGTCATATAAAAATTACTTCTCAAGTTGTTAATATGCAATCAAAATTAGTGATTTCCATTACAAAAGTTCAATTTTTTGTTCAAGTGTAACTGTGATTTACAACAAATACATTTGGTAGATTATTGCACAATTAGATTTTATAATTTTGAATTTTACAAGAATTATACTAAGAACTTAATTGTTCATAAATGCATTAAACATTACTTTGGTAGTAATTAGAAATCAGAATTCTGATACATAACTTACTTAAATCTTCCTTTGATGATTTCAGATGCGGAAAAGGAAAATATTATTATATCAACCAATGAGGAACTGGAGATTGCACTGGATGAAACATCCCGAAACGAAACTTCTACCTCCCCTATCCTGAAACTGTATATTGTATTACAAGCTGAGCGAGAACCACTAGATATGTCACAGTTACAAAAAGTACTGCACCCTGGTGTGGTTTGCGACGGATGTAATAAGGATATACATGGTTTTCGCTTTAAATGCATGCAGTGTCCAGATTATGATCTTTGCACTGAATGTATGATGCTTGGAACACATGCGGAACATTACATGGTTCGTATGACAGAACCAATTAAATGGTCCAGTCGTGAAGGTCGTCGACTCTCTCATCGTGTGCGAAGTTTCTTGAAGAAACATTGCAGAGAAGAACACAAGTCACACCATTCTGGTCATTCTTTTCATTTTGATGATTTTCTTGGTGGTGATCATGGCCGTCACTTTCCTCGTTGGGGCTATATAGACGGTACATTTTCCTTTGGTAATATTATTTTATCATATTCATCGTATCATAGCATCGTTCTGAATATTTGTTTTTTAACATACATATGTAATACATATAATATAAATTCTTTAACTTAACTTACATTCTGATATAAGTTGTATTATGTGTCCCGTTATAGGCCAGAGACTTTTTGATTGGTCCGCTGAGGCTGCAACCGAAGCAACGGAAGATTCCCAAGATAATATCACTTATCTTCCGCGCCACAATCTTGTCATCATAGATAATCGCAAACCTGCTGCTAGCAGCAGCAACCAGACCGAGTCCAAAACAAAGTCGCCAAAACCTGAGAAACGTACTGCTTCCTCGACACAAGAAACGTCCATTAAAAAGTTCCCAGGTGAGGGAAAGAAATTACGTGATGACATTGGAGATAAGAAGGCTGCTTGTTCGACGAATGACGCATCACAGAAAGAAGTGTCAGCAGCCACAACAGTGGCAACAACTACTGAGGCAGCGACAGAAACGACATTAGCAACAGCGTCGACGTCAGCGACAGCGTCAACATTAACTCCTACAGCTCCTACTGAACAAGCGTCCGAAGCAGAGGAATGGACAATGGTGCAACGCGAAGGTCTCGTCAGTCGCACGTCATCTATTTCATCTTCTAGTAACGGAACTACACCTAATCTGGTACGCCCAACACATTTAATCTAAATGAATCTAAATAATTATTACGTTTTATATGACGAAGCATGTAACAAAATTGCATTTTCGTTTATAAATATGAACAATAGAATTAAAAGTTTAATTTCAATATAATATAAAATAATCTAAAGAAATAGTAAAAGGATAGAAAGAATATTTAATAAAAAAGTATACTTTGTTACACAAACATGTAGTTTGTATATCGTTATAACTGAACGTCAAATCACATATTTAGAATATCTTACTATATCAGGTTACGCCACCCGAACCGACAGAACAAGAGAAAACAGAACCGTCGAAGCAGATCTACCCAACCTTACCGCAAGAAGTAAAAAATGATTTCTTTCATCCTAATCCCAAGATTCAACGTGCTGTGGAGACGATGATAAACATGGGATTCTCCAACGAGGGCGGTTGGCTCACCCATTTGTTGGTTTCGAAAGACGGCGATATTGGCAAGGCGTTAGACGTATTACAACCGGTGCGATTTAATCAGTAAAGCAGAGCTAAAATTACTGCATAGTATATAGTATGTAATACATGATGACAAACGACGAATATTATTATAACCAATTATTTTGTTTCTTTTTTTAGTTCTAGACTGGGAATAATAGTAACTGTAATGGTAATTACAATAAATTATCGTAATCGATCACTAATCTTTTTTTTTCAATAGTTATAGATGATAAATATGGTAAATGGTATTTTTAATAATAATTAAAAAGTACCACGGTTCATAAATTATTTATCGTTTTTTAAGGGTTGAAGACATACGTAATGTATTCTCTTAATCATAGTTATCGATTATGATGCTCGTATGCAATGTAGCTCGAGCAAAAGAGCATCATGTATGTAGCAGACTTGTACGTGTGTGTACAACATACAAAATGCATATAATATAGATAAGCAAGATCCACGCTCCTGGAGAGAAAGAAACAGATATAATTTTGTATTACTATTTTGACGTAACGGATATGTAATTTTTCGCAGTGTATTGTTATGACTTGGGTGTTGTACTCGTTATGTTAATATAAAGTTACGCATATGTGAAAAATTATATAAAAATTGACTATTCTTTTAAATGATATCTGGTCCTGTTAAAAACCATAAATTTTAAGATTGAAGAAAAATCTTATGGTTTTTTTTTCCAATATAATGAATCAACATGTGTGCTAAAACGTTCATCAGATGTTTTATTATATAATCTTTATGTCCACTTACAACTCTACAAAGCTGCACAATGTGTCCTCAAAATAAGCGGATTTTTATTAGTGAGTAATTCTATTTCTCTCTGCCCGCTGGGCGTTATATTTCTTATCCATTTTCGTTCTTTGTAATATTCCATCATGCTCTCGAATTCAGCAACGTTGTAATCTTCGACCAGAACGGGTACAAAGGGGTCCAAATGCTCGAAGCCTTCTTTACCGAGTAGGTATCTGGGAAAATACGACTCTCGTCTTTCCTAAAAATAAAATTTTTATGAATTTTCACCCGCAATTATCGCTTCAGTATCTTATAACTATTTTCTAAGCTGAATATTTAATTAAATATAAGACAATATTTTCTAATTTGTTTAGTAAATCAACATGGTTAAATTAATTGTGTGTTCAGATGAAAAATTTTCTTATTACGTAATACAATAATCGTGCGTACTTTATTTGCCTTCTCATCTACTGTCAGTACAACTGCTCCGTTGCACCAGTCATCCTGCGTAATATTGAAGAACGGCGTCGCCAACGTGATTTTCTCTGGCAAAACCATCGCTTTATTTTCGTCGCGGACGCGCGTGTAATTAGATGTGAACGCATTGAATCCATCCGATATGACCATTGTCTTGCACTTTCCCGCAGTGCTGGCTATCTTCAGCTCCTTTATCAGCGCGTCCACTACGCCACAGGCGTATTTGAGACGATTTATACCGAATTCGATGAGTTCTAAAATGGGTGTACCTTGGGCTGTCAATTCGCGTTGATTCCATATATACTCCTTGGATACTTTGAGCTACAAATTACAAACTACATGTGCAAATAAAGCTGACAAAATTAATATTACAAGGTAAACGATACATACATCTAACTTTGAGAGTAATTTCAAATTTTGAGATTTGAAATGTTTTAGCCACGCTCCAGCGTCAATCGGTAGATCTATACAGCCTGGAGATAACGATGAATTTGCGACTTCCTTTGGATATTTAAACCAATTTCGTGCTAAAGAAGTGACAGACAATTAATTTTAGCAATTTCAGCACCAATAATACTGTATATCATTGACATAAAGAGAGACATACCCCAACATGTGTGAACGAGTATAAATTCCTGAACAAAAGCATAGTGCGATATATGAGTTAATGTCATACTTTTTCCTGTTCCATATTTACCATCTATTTAATACCATTAAGGTTTTATAAATCTTTTTGTTAAATATACATGCAAAATTATATATAACTCTGATAAAATAAACTACATTGGAATTGGTGTAATTATTACGATAAAGAATTATCTTTTGGTTTTTCAAAAGGATACATAACACATACTTGTTGACAGGTCTTGTATAATCTGTCTGATGCAGGTAAGATATAATTTCAACTGCCGGTTGCCTGACTAGTATAGAGCACTCTTGAAAAGTAGTGATTTGTTCGCTGAATGCTTTAGTTAAACCACCATACTGAAAGACTTGTTGCTGAATGTCCGGTGGTATTGTATACAATCTCGCAATGTGATCAGCATTATGATTAGCTGGATTGTTTTCAACAGTGCGAAAGGAGCATACTTGGCTCACTTGTTCTTTTTCGTTTACTTCAACAGCCGTACTGAACTTTCTACCATGTGTTTTCTGTATTCTTCTCAAAATTGAATCTGAAATGTGCAGTTTATTTTCAACACTCATACACACACAAATCATAAAAGAAAATCGTTTTTGATACATGTAATTAATTACATTGTCACCATTAAAACTTAAAACTAAATTAATTATGATTAATAATAAACTAAAAATAAAATTTACGGAGACAACTCTATTTGATGGAGATTAAAGCAATTAATACAGAGTCTTATATTGTGCAATTATTTGTGACATGAAGATTGACAAACCGAAATCATGCTAAAGCTTACATAAGCGGAAAGACATTGTGCTGTCTTTTTTTCAAATGTGATTAAAACAAGAAATTCTTCACAATAGTTTCTACTTTTACAAACTCCTTGTCGAGGTTATAATACAATCAGTTTTCGTCAGGTAACCACAGCGTGAACACCATTTCGTTCTTTCTCTTTGCACTGGGCAGCACTGGGACTGCACTAAAATTCACTAGATTGCGATAATGCGATTGGCTACTTCTAATGGCAGACAGAAGAATGTTCATATCGGTCAGGTTCACATCCTGACCGGTGTTCACATCTAAGTCGGTTAGGGTTAGGTTACGGTTAGGTTCACATTCTGACCGGTCAGGATGTGAATCTGACTAGTCACTACGTAAGTCTAACCGGTGAAAATGAAGAAGAATGTAAAATGTTAGACAAATATAAACATTTTTAATATTTGAACACGTGATTACAAGCACACGATCTCACAAACATTTGTTTTCGTATACATGTTACTGCATCTCTCAGAGATTTCTGCAAAAAAATTAACAAATGTTAATAGAAAAGAATCACAGAATATATACCTAATATTTTATCTGTGGTTACTTACACATACACGTTTTTCACTTTTCATTTTTCACGATGCGGGACAAGGTTGTTGCGACGGTACTGAAACATTTGTATAAAAGGTAAAATTTATAGTTTTTTGAAAGTGTTATCCTATATTTACAGATAGAATTTTAATGAAGAAATTTTACTTTTGTAAGTGTTGGCGGGAAGACAAGAGACGGAACAAGTTTGCAGAGGGACGAGTGTTCCCGGTGGTATGTAGCTAAAAAATATCGCATGAACTGTGAGATGCTCGAGTTTTCGACAAGTAATTAGAAAAATTGTGAGAGAGAGAGAGAGAGAAGAAACCTTAGATTATACGTAGTATTGTCCTCCATGGGAGTAACAGGCCGATGAAAAGCTAATTTTGCAGCCCATGGTTTTTCAATTTTGTTCACTGGTCCCACGGGCTGATAACTCAGTCGCATCGTAGTTTCGGACTCCATCGGAACATCGGACGGCTGATATTTGCGTTCGGGTGCGTAAGATTTGATGGGAAGCAAGTGTTTGTGATCGTTCGGTATGTAAGACAGTTTGTGAACGGTGCAGGCTGCAAATTTGTAAGGAAAAAAAATTTTTAATCAGTTTTTAATTTGAAGAAAAACTCTGGTAAGTTGTATATTTGCAATATAAAAAATTGAACTGTTAACAGTTTTATTATATTTCTCTCTTTTTAAGAAAATACGTATAAAAGCGGCATTTGTTGACGAATTTGATAATGTAATGAGATATGCTCTCACATTCCAGCGGCAATGGCGAAAGAGTGAGATTGTTCTCAGGTCGTTGTTGCGCAGGCGGCGTTACCTGTTTCCAGGTGTAATCGTACTTTTGCGTAGTTTCGTCCTGCATCGGACCTCTGCCCAACCACTGTCTCTCGCAAGGCGTGCAGGGTGGTTCCGGTTTGACGCACCAATTGCCCAGGTAACTCAACTGCGACGAGAACGATATATCGATTGAAGAAACTTTAATTGTAAACAATTTTAAAGATACGTCGAAGGTGAAGATAAAATCTATTTTGTTTGGACAACAATCTCGCTTGGTGATTTAAATTAAGAAATTTTCCATCTTGTCTTACTACACACGATGTCAAAATGACGGAGTCAAGGCAAGTTTTTTATAGAAATATTCTTTGTTATCATTTTTTTAAGCGCGATTTCATATACGTCTCGATAGAAAGAAGATTATCAGCTTATAATCTGCGATCGCTCACTCGATTCACGGTGTCGTGGGAAACCGGACAGTCCGAGAAGATCTTGTTGGTCGGCTGGCGAATAGGATCCGGCCTGTCACCGCCGCAACCGAAATAACTGAGTCGATACGTAGTGTTTTCGTCGAAACAGCAACCGGCGTTGAGCAAATTCTCGGTCGGCTGATGAATAATACGTTCGGGCGGCTTCGTAACGTCGCACGGCGGCCAATAACTCAGTTTGTAAGTCGTGCATCCGTCCATCGGCACTACAGGGCGATAATATTCTCTCTTTTGATTCCATGGTTGTTCCTCCTTATAGAAATAAAATCTTTTACACACTTCGCTATTTTTTTTATAACAGTTTTCGAAAAAATATTTGCAAGAAAAAAATCGCGTGTAATTTACTTGTATTAAACAAAAAATTGCGGTTGATAAAATGGAGTTTCGAAAATTTCGCTGCTTGAAAACTCACTCTTGCAGGAATCTGGTGGGGCCAATAGCTGAGTCTATACGTCGTACAGCCTTCCATCGGTACGTCCGATTTCACATATTTTCTAACGGGCGCGTAAGAGGACACCGGAAGCAAGCAGGCGGATTTGTAGTAACTTGTGCGATACGTCGTGTCGTCTGTTTTTTTTTTTTTTTTCGACGATTTACGTTATTCACACCGATGTTAAGTGATAAAAGCGTTTTTTTTTTTTGTATTTTACATGTGAGATAGCGATCATATAGCGATAAGAGGATTATGAGAACCGGATAAAGCGGCGCAGGGTAGATACAAATTGTTCCGTATCCTGAAGGGTTCGGCGCGTTGCGCGCACTTCCACGAGTAATCGCGCTTGTTCGTCGTCATGTCTTCCATCGGGCCTCTACCTAGCCATTGTCGTTCGCAGGGCGTTATCGGCGCTTCCGGCTTTACGCACCAGTTGCCGAGATAGCTCATCTTGATTATTACACATGTGATTCAGTCAGTTTTGTAAATTTATATACACAATAATATTCACATAAAAAATCTTGTTTCTATACTTTGTGCGTCGTTTCGTCGGACATTGCTGCGTCACCGCACGTTAGATTGTCTTCGGGACGAATAGGTTCGACCGGGACTCTAGGACCTTCCCAGTAGGAGAGCCGATACGTTGTGTTCTTGTCCATCGGCACGTTCGATTTCCAATAGTACTGCACATACGCGCCGTTACATCGATCGATTGAGAAAAACATAAGTGCGGTATAAAAAAAAAAAAATATTATTCTTGAATTTGAATTCTTGAGTATTGTAGTTTCTCTCTAGTTGAAAAGTTTTTTTGAACACACTACTTACACGAACGGGCGCGAAGGATTTCGGTACCTCCGGTTGCACATATTTCTGTAAAAATTATTTACCTTTGATTTTTTGTATCCGAAATACAAACAGACATCTTTTTTTTTTTTTAAATAAATGTGATGAAAAAAAAGTATCACTCACGTAAGCTGCGGGCTGCGGTATGCAACAGCAACAACAATTGCAGCATGCATCGTGGCCCAGCTAAAGCGTTTATCCGGGGGAGAAAAGTGAAGAATACAGATTATTTACTTATAGGACACTATACGCGCACGGGAGATTTAATTGTCACCGCGCGACGATCATTTTTTCCGTAACATCAAAGTGCTCACCCGAATTTTATTTTTCGCTTCGATAATCGACGGTTTCGGCGTTCTTCGAGGTCTGTAACAAAGAAACTCACTCATGTACTTTTTTTAAAACACACGGATTCGTGAGTATAAAAAAAAAAAAAAAAAATAAGATTGCAGTGTCAAAATTTAATTAACGAATTATTGCGATGATCAGCTCACGGATCAGAGGGACAGATTTCCATAATTTTTCTAATTGTTTCGGCAGTGTCTCATGTATATTGCTGTATCTCACTTTGAATGTGTGTCACAGAAAAAAAAAATTCAGCGGGACAAATTTAGTTAAACCGTCATAATTTTTACATAGTATAAAGTGAGAAATGACCGGGCCGCGTGACGTTGTTGGTGAAATCTTCAACCGAAAAAATCAGATAAATTCACATTATTGAAACTCCGTCTTACACGCGTGTGTGATGACAAAAATGTGACTTGTTTCATTAAAATAATAACATTATGTGACGTTTGTTAAGCGATCGTAAATTTCATTGACCTGTAAATAAGAGATTCTTAATTTCACAAATAATGCGCAGCAGGATATAAAAAAAGCCCTCATTCGGATTTTATTAATGTAGAATAATATACAACTGCAAACTCTCGTATAGCATAATATATATATATAGTTATTACATAAAAAACCTCAATTACATATAATACATATATTACATTACAATCAAGTACTGCAATCATTAGATATGCGATTTATTGCTATAAACGCTGAAACGATTAATAATTATTACCGTATATACATTTATCGTATAAAGTTACATAATGTATTCGAAATATCATCAACACTTCTTTCCAGGTACACGCGTGCATGGCGGCGTATTTTATTTCAGAAATATTTATCGATAAAACAAAGAAAGCGAAACCGATTCGGAATAAAGTTTGTGTTCAAGTTAACGTAAGACCGAATCGCTGCGCTATCTCCGGAGAATGAGTTGTCGCGACCGCGAGTAGAAGCGGTATGTCAGCTGCGTCGAGGTCGAGAGCGTTGGTCAAGCTGTTCACATTGGCGTCGCATTCTTCCACGGACATCATCATCTCCGCCAACACTTCGCTTCTCAACCATAACTCTCGCAGTTTGGCTTCCAGTATCGCTATGCACTGAAACGCATGTTTGATATCGCGCTTAGTTATTTTAGAAACAATTTAGAAACGTGAACAAATCATCAGACGAGTCTCGTTTTTTAATTGATGAAGAAACAACATGAGCTTACGTGAGTGGGAGAGTGATATTTTCGCCACACATAGGCAAAGGACTCTAACATATTCGAGACCAGACGTGACATCCCGACCGGTAAGGGCGGATTCTGCCAAGGTGCGTTGTTCGATAAGATCCCAACGTGCCATGTGTCCAGATCAGCCAGCACGCAAAGCGCTTCAGAGACCGGCTGATCGATCGTCGGAAATCGGACGCTGGCCGTGACTTCCTCCCGCATGCACGACCACCACCGCGTCTCTTCCGGTTCAATCTCGCAAATATCATTGTCCATCGCGTCGGTTTCTGAAATCATTTTCTTTTTTCTACGTTTCTTCTTCTTTGTCACACCTTGTAACACCAAACCCCACGTGTATCCCGAATCCAAAAAGTTAGTTTCGTTGTTCATTATCCGACTGCGCAAAAGAGTTCTCGTGAAATCCTCCGTTTCTTTGACCAAACCAGATTTGTTGGAGGTAACTTTTCTCGACCTGAGAGAGAGAGAGAGAGAGAAAGAGAGAGAGAAAAAAAATAAATTTATTACTCGAGATGTTCTTTATCAAAATAATGAGATAAAATACGTTTATATAAAAACGTTTAGATAAAAACAAAACTATAGATGATGTCAAATTGACTTCTACTTTTAATCTCTTATTTAAAAAAAAAATGTACGAAATATATAGTTTTTTTATTTACAGACGCGTTACTGTACACAGATACAGCGAACTAACTGTGGCATCGGCAACTCTACGACGCTGTTGGCTTCCATGAGAGCCTCGAGACTATTCGATCGCGACAGTCTTGTGCTTCTGTTGCCTTCGGAACTGCCGCATGTGCGCAACACTTCCGTCGCGTTCGTCGGCGTTTCCAGCACCTGGTTGCTAACGTCGTAATCCGAGGCGTATCCCTTCTGACCATTGCACTTGGGACAAAAGCCTATTGACCTGGACGCTGCTCCTGGTGGCGGCTGTATGCTCTTGGACGATTCGGGAAAGTTTCGCTGAATGATTTTTCTCAATACGCCCTCCGGAAGTTGCGCCGACGTGCTCGGGACTCTCGTAAACGTGCAAGAACACTGACAAGTGTTACTCGGACGCGATCTCGACTCGGGCGACAACTTGACGGACTTGTCCTCGCCTCCGAGAGTGAAGAAGACCTGCGATTCCTTAAATTCGTCGACGTATCTGCGATCCGCGTCGAGCAGCGGCAACTCCGGTCTGTTATAGTACACTTTAAGTGGATCGACGTTGACGTCCGATTGAGTAAGCAATTCGGTCTTTCCGATCGCGAGATTCTGCTCATCGTCGCACATGTTCAATTTCTTCTCGAAATCTCGCAAAAGATACTGCGTCTGACAATCTTTGGACGCGGTATCTTGTTGCAAATCAACTTCGTTGATGACTATTTTTATTTTACTTTGCGACGGAGAGTTTTCCTCTTTATTCTCCGTCGATCGATCGTCCCGCGATTCGTCGTAGCGATTTTCAAGCGACGGAAAATCCTTCTCCGGAAACTTGAAGCACTCCATCGGCACCTCGGCAGATTTCGTCATTAGCGCGCTAAGATCAGATTTTATGGTGTCGCTGCGCTTCAACGGACTGACCGATCGCGAGATTCTCGGCCGTTCCGCGCTATACCGCGACGCGTTTTCATCGTTCGGTGATTGTGTCGACGATTTGCGCGATGACAAAACGCGCGAATCGCATCTGTACGTTGAAGCATCGCGATCGTTCGAAGCGCGAGTCGATTTCCTGTTGTTGAACAGATGCGGTCGCTTGCTGCGGGCCTGTTGCAACAGATCTACCGCCTTGTCCACGTCTTCCTGTCGGGAACATCGATATTCTCGGCTTTTCCGCACCGTTCCGCTTCGAATGAAATACGAGAGAAACGACAAAACGGAATTGATCAGATCGCTCTTGCGAGGATCGCCCGCGACCACGGTATGCGCCACTTTCACGGGATTTCCCAACGCGCCGTACAAATCACCGAGCTGCGCCCACAGCGGATTGCAGGAATACCAGTTGCCCAGTTTCTCGATCTAAATATCAAGACAATACTAATGAAGTTCCTTCTCTGCAAATTAACACAATTAATATATCTCACAATTAATATATCGTTTGTCACAAAATTGTAATATACAAATTAAGTTATAACTATACGTTTTACAAATAATTGATTCTCTTCGCTGTGTGCGATTTTTTCAACTCACTATCTGACGATCTCGCGGAGATAACACGGTGTACACCCAACCGAGATGATACGTCAACACAGCGGTTAACACGGTACTCAAGAAGCTGAAAGAACGCACACATACCGAAATGACTATTGAACCATTTATCGAGAAAAAAAATTTGAAATCGATGCGTTTGCGTACACTCACAAATTCGTCGATTTCGTGTCAAGCTCGTCGAACAAGTGACACATCTGTTGCAAACTATTATGCAAAGTGTTAGACTTCTCCTTCACTGTCACGGAGTTGAGTAAAACGTCGTGCCACAGAAGAGGCGTGCGGTTACTGGCTTCGACATTAAGAAGTACGTGCAACAGCGAAATGATGAATCGAGACGTCGCCCTGCACATTCTGTCAGTCAGCTGAACTCTCTTGCAGTTCAAACCGCTGTTCGTACCGCTGGTCTCGATGCAGAAATACCGCAAACGATTTAACATACCTTCCAAGAGCGCCACGTGTTCCAAAAGACGCGCTTGTATTTGACTGTTGACAAATTACAAATTATGTTTCGCATCTTGTGTACTCTTTTTTTTTTTTTCTATTTCAAAAACATACGATTCTTTGCGTACCTTTCGCGGCCCTGAGTCAATCGCACTAGCATCGTCAAACCCAACCTGGTTTTGTGACGTTTCGTATATCCGTCACGTCCGTCGCTCCCGTTTTCGCTCCAGTGCTGCATCCCGAACGCGTCGTCCGAATCCGATCGACCTAGAGAGGTCGAAACCGCGCGGAACCACCTTCTCCGCAAACTACTGAGACTACCGATGCCGGACGATCCGTTACTCTCCAGCGACTGCGAACCTGGATCAACGTTACGACGTAGAGCTATGCGCTTCTCTCTTACCCGCGGCAATCAATCGCTCTAATCGGTAGACGTGAACTTACTGCCCGTCGACGGTGCGATGTCTATGTCCCAGCCGCTGCCGGTGCTTGAGCACGTCGAACTCTTCCGCACTCTTGAATGCGAGTCGTTGCTCGACAGGTTGCCGGAACTCGGTCGGGATACTGCGACAATCGAAATTCTAATCAGGATTTATTTTGACGCTATTTATGGTACTAACCGTTTCTATCATTCTTATTTATTCCGGACTAATTATTTTAGAGCCTACAATTGAACAGTTAAATTCTAAAAGATCAACACACGCCTTTGATTAATAAAAGTTGTGTTTATGTCGTTGAAAAACTGAAAAAAAAAAAAAAAAAAATGTTTCGTGTCTCTTCTCTAAAAATAACGATGTATAACATTGATATATACTTACGATAAGATCGTACGCTGGTGTTGCTCGAGGCAGAATCCATGTGCACGGACCGTCCTAATCCTTCGTCGGACGCTCTTTCGCTGAGCGATAAAACAAATGATCTTTTTCATCCTATAAAATTATTCTTCGATAGAAAATAAACGTCAAACATACGGCTTACTTTGATTTGTGCCACGCGCCATGTTCCGTTGCCGGAAAGATTTTCGTGCACATAATGCACGGCGGAGAATTCATTGAATGAACCTGTTTTGGAGAAACAAAAACTCTCTATTAATTTATCTCGGAATAAATTTGTACGCGCGCGTGCAACGGTGTTCCCGAAGAAAATTTTATTCTACCTTGAACGATGATCCCTTGTAGGTCATTGCCACAGTACCGAACACCATTTCACTCAGCAAGCTCACGTCATCCTCGATTGTCTTGTCTCGCTAAAAATTTTAGACGCTACATTTCATTAGCGATATCCAATAACATGTAAACTGAAAATAATTTCGATCGACTTTGTACATACATATGTGTGTATGTGATATAAAAAAAATCTCTTTCTCACAATTTTAAATAGAAAAATATCAAGAATATAAAATAAACTAGCAAAAGAAACAAAGTTGAGAAATAAGACGAAAATTTTACTGTAAAATAAAAACAATTAATCTAGAGTTAATATTTGTATATGTTACATGTGTTGCAAAATAGAAAGTTTATTTCACATTTGACGACTGAAAAGAAAAATTTGTAAAATTCTATGATTACCTCGAAATCGCGAGCATTTCCCACGTTAAAGGGTGCCTTGCAATCCCCATTGTTGGTAACCGCTGTGCAAGCGGTGGTTTCGCTTTTGCTTCGGTGCTTCTGCACAGACATCGAGTCGAAGAGAAGTTTTCTACCGCGCCATTCGCATTCTCGAAATAGCAAGATCCGCACTTGATCAGCTCCAAGACGCAACACGGAATCCCTACAATATAACATTGTGAGAGCATATTTTTATTTAGAATTTGGTTTTATTTCTGTGTCCCCCAAACTCTCTCCGTAAGAGCGAGTAAACGTTGTTTTTTAACAACCGTAACATTTTGCAGATATTTTCTCGAAATAATTCTGAATCATCCTGTATACGTTATTTAAAAATCTTATATAATAAATAACCGTTATCTTATTTCTTCGCGAGTGAAAAAAAAAAAAGTGCTGAGTGCATAGTCGCGCGTTCGCGTGACGCGCGATTGCTCAGCAACGTCGCGTTGGTAAAACAGCCGGTCGAGAGATAGGACGAGGAGGAAGAGGAGGGCCAAGTGATGGTCTACGAGCGAAGCAGGTTAGGGAATTGGAGTGTCTGTGTGGAATACAATCTGGACTTTTCTCCGTCGGCCGGTTTCCGTTTTGCTGCAATATCAAAATTTCGATTGAATCGCGCAGATTAATCATCTTTATCTCGCCACGCAACATGATAACAAACAAGGCAGCATTGCTTTGCTTATATTCTTTTTTTCTTTTTAAGAGTTAAAAACTCTTGTTTTTTTTCAGCGATAAATCATCAGGATAACACCTATGTGCGTTATAAAAAAAGTTGACGTGATCACGGGAGAAGTGAATGACGGATGATGAATGAGCGTGCTTGCGCGCGCGAGCAGCTCTAGATTGGTCTCGGACAAACGTTCGGTAGAAGAGAAAACGCGTTCTCCGTAACGGAGAGCCGTTTCTCTCAAGGCTCTCACCTATCATTCTCAGCTGTTCGCGCACTGGACACTCGGCACTCGTCACTGTCAACGCTACTCTTCCCCGGAGACAGCAGTTTATCGAGCAACGGCATTATAAAAGCCGCACGGCCCGCAGTCTATAGTTTACCGCATCTCATCCGTCGGACCCTGTGCCCCGCGGTCTCTATCATGTCACGCGGAAGCTCCGCACCCGTGTACATGTTCGCCCGCGCGAGTGTAAGTCAACTGTAAATAAAGTCACGTGCGGGAGGAGTCATATGATCGCTCGAGATAATGCGCTGCCTCGGCGTCGCTGCCTGAACGGCATGACCGAGGCCGCGGTTTGATATCAAACCGCGACCGAACGCGACGAGCCTCCCGAGTTTACCTGCTAAAAAAAAAAAAAGTCTCTTGAATTTCGTTTGTTTGTGTTCGTTTTTATTTGTGGAATGTCTTTGATACCTTATGCGCAGACTTTGTTTGCATAATATTTTATTACACATATGACAGGTTTTCTCAAGATTTTTAACAAATATCGACTGAGAACTGCTTGATAGTTGACGTCGATAAATTTCACGAGATGGAGACACGTGCTGTTACTCGGAGCGAAACCGAACGGGATGCGACTTCTCAAAAGTACGATGCGAGTATTTCTTACAGCCAATTTCTTCATTTCCAGAGTCTAAGTTTTCGATAACTTCGTCCAGAAGATATCTTCCAAAATTGATTCTCCTTTATTGGTTCTCAGAGAAATTTATCCAGAGGATAGCTATCGATGAAGAAATCGGCCGTTACTGACGCTGTAAAAATTATATCGATGCAATTTTATTTAATAAACAATTAAACAATTAAACATGTCTGCAAGCTGAAAAGATTTATTTCTTTTTTCTGCATTCTTCTATAAATCTCGTATACATTATCTGAACGTTAACAAATTGTTTGAATAAAAAATAACTTTACTTCTCAACAGTAATGAAGTCATGATTGAATTATTCATTATGTCATAAACCAATCGAGAGAGAGAGAGAGCAAAGATGATAACTTTCGAGATCAGCTTTTGAACTTTTACACACCTTCTTACTTTTCAGAATTTACGATGAGCGAGAGTGGCGACGTAGCACCGAATTTAAAATATCCATTTAAAATCACGTATCGCATATGAATTTCAATTGATCCGCATCGTCGTCCGCGCCACGTCGAAGTGGGATGTTGTCGTCAATATTTCCGCGCACTTTGCTCGATATTGAGCTACTGGGAATAATCTTGATATTTTCAAAGGCCTTTCTAATATGATTCTTGCTGTGTAACGGCATGTAAATCGGAAACTCGACGTTGAATCTCAATATCAAATCGCCTCTTCGCTTGGGATTCGCAGGAAGTGGCATGCCTTCGTCTGGTACTCGTTTCGTATAATCCGGTCTGTGTGAAAAAGATCAACAAGATCTAAGATCGCGCTGTGCGATGAACTGGCCCCCCGTTCATGATCAGCCGTAAGTTTTGGCCAATCGCAAACGGAGAGGAGGAGGAGGCAAAATCGCGCCATTAATTCGCAACTGTGCGGAGCTCGACGCTTATTGGCTGTCGCAACACCGACACGAACTTTGGATTTAAGCAAAGCTCGCGACTGACGTTACGGATCTTACGGAGATTTTCGTACGTGATAATGGACGTTATCGGGATTCGCAGAGTTCTGTCGTCCACGGTGGTGAGCGTGATCACTGTTCCGGTCAGAGCCTCCTTCAGGAAGATATCGACCGTCGTATATAAGTCCGAATCCATTCGCCGGAACGTTTCGTGAGGCCGGTCCTCCGTGACGAAGATAACATCCGCTACGCTGACGTGTGTGTCATGGGGTTAGTAGAAATGTCAACTGTTGTTACGATTAATCTTTTGTACGACGGAACGTTATGCGTTGTCACGTGAATCTCTTAAAAATTCACATCACATTTTTATTACCATCTGTCAAACTCATAAATTGTAAGTTAAAATTTTGATTTTCTAACATTAATTATGTAATTTATAAAATTCGGAAACAAAAGCATTGAAGTTTGGTCAATAATCTCGAAGTGTATACATGTCCACAAAACTTGATTTTATTTTCAAAAGAAAACAAGTTTTCAATTTGAACAAATACTTTATATATTTTGTTTTTCTGTGCAAACACTTGTATTGATATTAATTATATGTTGCGAACGATTGTGTGCTCATGCGATTAGAGACGAGTTTAAAGAAACAGTCTTATGTTTTATGTTATTGCAATAATATATAATATATATATATATATATTAAATTATATAAAATATATATTTAAAAAAAAAAAATATATATATATATATATATATTTTATATATATATGTCGTAACGTACTATAGAGACCGCGCGCGACCTCACCAGCCATAAGCCAAGCTCAAGGGAGATCGAGAAAGCAATGAAAGGACTTACCGGGTATCTCGGTGGATCCCTGATTACCCTCTCCTGGAAATACTATTCTGGTGCCCGCCGGGATTCCCGGTTTTATGGGTATCGTCAAGATCTTCTCTATTGGTACTGTCGTCGACTTATCGCCAGCCAAGACCAATCTTCGGATTCTCATTTTTTTTATACCACCAAAAAATACCTACGAACAAATATTCTTTACTGCCCAAAAGACAAGTACATTTCTCTTTGCTTCCGAGGAACATAGTTTGCATATTAAATTTGCGATTCAATTTTTACCATAGCCTCTTTAGACTTTGGACAAGAGAAGCATGTAAATGATTTCTCTCAAACACTAGTTTTAACTAATTTTGCCAATAAACATGTATGTAACTAGAAACTATATACATGTAGTACAATTAAGTACATGTAGTAAAATTAAGAGAGAAGAAACAGTTAACACATCCACATTTCCCTATACCTCCGACAAAGTTAGAAATAAGATCTTGATCAAGGGTTCTTCCTTTTGTTTTGTACTTCGATCTGTAGAAAATGTGAACAGACTGCTCATCGTAAAGACTTCCCTGATGAGAGAAAATTTACCATGTAGATATATTTATCTTCTAGAATACCAATAGTCTTCGATAAGAAGTAAACAATTCTTGTAACTTAAAAGTTTGAATATTAAAAACATAAAGAAAATATTTAAAAAAATACAATTGTTTCAGTAGAAAAAAAAAGTTTCTCAAATATTTTCACACACTTTTGGCACGAAGTTAAGATTCAAGGTAAAAAATTTTCAATAAATTTATTTAAAACGATAAGAACTCGGTGGCTTTTTTGTTTTCACCTGAAGGTTTGCACTTGCCCCCCGTGAATGTAAGGTTTCACAAATCCTTCTGGTCTGGGCGCATCATTTTTAAGACCCTCTTCACCGTATTGGCCATGTGCGGCCCTTCTAAGAGGATCTGAGAGCAGCACGTCGAACGCTTCACCTGCTGAGGCAAAAATCGCCTTGGCCGCTTTGTTCTTTTGCTGCTCCGGATTGTATCGTATGGCAGATTGTCGATATCTAAATGAAAATAACCTCATCATTTTATCAGCGTGTAATATGCTTCTCTCTTCTCTTTACATTTTTTAATAAAATTATAATAGTGTAAATATATTTCAAAAAGATTGCATGGATGTGTATAAATATATAAAATATGAAAAGATGTTTTATTAATATAAGTATAATAACAAGACAAAATTATATCAATATTGTTTAAGAGAGAAGAGATAACAAAGAACGCAACATTTTGTTTCTACGAAATAATTACGCTCACAGTTCTTTGATCTCGATGTCGTTACTGTTGCTTTTCGACGACACTACTTTGTAGTAATCTACATTGTTGTTTCTGTCATCGTGTTCGTTCGTATTAAAGTTTGTCTTCAAAATTTCAGAATCCATTTCGAAAAGCACGGACGACATAGAACGCCAAAGATGTTTTTGAGAAACGATGACATTTACTTAAGAAGAGTTTCGCGACGCGAACATCTTTTGTCCCTTTCGCATGTCATCGAGTATAACAGAAAGATGAAACATAAAACGATCGGCGCATCGTTACGCGTTTTTCAACAACAACCAAGGCGAAGCTACATTCGTGTGTCACGTTTCGCCATTATCAAGAAACGTACATTATTAGACGCGCATAACAATACGGGAAATCAGTGCACATCGACTGATCGTCTCTAGAAGATAGCTCCGATCGACCGACGGGATTATTGCTATGGACGCCCGACGAGAACGTGTCTCGAGTTTTGCTGAAAAAGGTAAGCGCGCGCTTGTGATGAAATCTACGTGTTGTAGACTTGTAATAAATATTACACGAAGAGCGACAATCGCCTGTCAACAACTACATACGCACATCGAATAATGCAGAGTATAAAACGCTCGCGTGCACGAAAAACATAAAGATAAAATAAAAAGTAAAATAAAATATTAAATAGTAGCTTGAAGATCGCTTAAGAAAAATAAGGAGAAAAAAAATTACATATAATTTTATACAACAATATTATCAAAGACGTTTAAATCTGCGGTAAAAATTAATCTTGAATAATGTATTTTGCGCATAGATAAGGAGAATAAAATTCGCGAAAGAAATCAACGCATTCTTTGCGACAATACTGACCATGGAAATGTCCTCGTAGTGCTCCCACTAGTTGAAACAAAGCCATCCGTTTTTGACGAATATTTGGAAAACAGAGAAAAGATCAATGATGACGCTGACTATTCTACACGTTCTGTTATTAACTTCGATAACGACGATGACAAGGAGAACACAGAGAAAAAGCGTATTCTTAGCGGATCCAAGATAGTGAATCTTGAGCATGACAAGATTTTTTCTCATACATGGATACCAGTGGATCGATCGCCAACATGCAAAAGTACTGACATCCACGCTCTGCTACGCATTGATGGTGGTGAACTACCGAATACAGAAACGGCTCGAGTTAAGCGCAAGATTCCGAGACCTGCAAACGCCTTTATGCTCTTTGCCAATGAATGGCGAAGAAAACTTGCCGCCCAGAATCCTCGGGAATCGAACAAGGATATTAGCGTCAGGTTGGTTTTGTTTTTTTCTTTCTTTTGTGTTAAAAACGTCATTTTATACATTTCCATCGGACTGTCTTATTAAAAAAAAAAATGTAAATTTCTAATTTTATAAATTAACTTTTAGAGAGAGAAAGAGAGAGAAATTTTCTTTCTTACCAAAGTCTTAACACTCTTTAAAACATTTTTTTTCTGTTCCCTCTAGGCTGGGTATATTCTGGAAAAATATGTCAAAGGAAAGGAAGGAAAAATACTTTGCTCTGGCACGTGAGGTGGATAAGGAGCATAAGAGGAAATATCCTGGTAATGTAACTTCTCTCGCCTTACACGACCTTATTTATAAAGATCTAGCGCATCGACAAAGTTTTCCCGAGAATGACGTGCGCGCGCTCCGTAGATACGTCACGAGTTAGGTATGCTTGCGTTCGGCTCGGATGTAGATGCGACGGTAACGCGAACAATTCAAGAAACGAACACGTCGATAAAAACACCCGGACCATGTTGCGGACGATTCGGTGAATTGCTTAAATTAGAAAACCCCCGTTTACTTGTCGCGTGAACGAAGTGTCCCGAAGTGTCGGGCCACGGTCTATAAATAGCCTCACGTCGGATTAGATGATATCGATCGCCGGCGATAAGTCGGTCCGCGTTATCAGCGGACGAAAAGCGAGGAGAGAGCCACCTCGCATCGGCGCTGACGACTCATTCCAAGTGAATCGTTTCTGCTTTAGTAGACACGGTTAAACCGCAAACATCAACACCATCTCTGTAACATGACGTCATTCATACCCAAAGGAATACTCCCGCGCCATTCTTACTTTTAATCGATTATTCACATGTAAACTCGCTTCATGCGTGTCTTGCTGAAAAGTAAAAGTTTCAGACAAATTCATGAGTGTGCCGCGACATACAGAGAGAGAGAGAAATCACGGAGCGGTGTCATAGATCCCGTCGATTCCGCGCGATTATAGGTCGCCAGGACGACGACGTCGGCGACGACGACGACGACGACGACGACGACGACGACAACGACGACGACGACGACGTGAGCGATTCTCGCGGGGCTATAGAGGGTAGACGCGGCGGGAGAGGATGCGAGTTTAGCGGGTCGAGGAAAAGGGTGGCGAGCGGAGAGAAATATTCTCGGGTGAGTGACGCGGGGAGAACGCGCGGGTGGGAACGACGTCGAGAGAGAGACCGGAGGTATTGATTGCGACGCGACTCTAGGAACCTGCCCGATACACGACCGCCGGCTTTACCTTCCCTACCTACCTACCTACCTACCTACACCCACCGAGGCTGAGCCGAGCGAGCGAGCGAGCGAGCGCACGATTACGCTTCGTACATCGCGCGTTGCTGCTGAGCATTCGTGCGCGAGAGAAACGTCGCACGTCCGTCGCGGCCGCGTATAGACGTGCACGTCGTCGACGGTGCCGCCAGGCTTCTGACTCCCGGTCGATTCGCTGCGTGTTTCTCGTCGCTCTTTTCGACCGTTCTCGTCTATGATTGCAAAAACTGCCGTGTTATCATACAATCTTGCACGAGCGAAATTAAATGAACAATTTTTTTTTTTTTTTTATAAAAAAGCGAGTAAACCGATATCGTAAATGTGTTAAATGATATATATTTTTTTAATGTTTCGCTTTTTATATGCGCAGTATATTTTTTCACATTTTTGACATTAATATGTATTTTTGCAATCGTATCGAAAATTAAAATTCTCGTCGAAGAAGCAACAATTTTTAAATAATTTTATTGATTGTAACACAGCTGCGTCGCTGGAAAGACAGCAAAGATGGTTAACTCGTTAGATCGATAGTATATTATTTTTGTCCGTGTCGGTCTCGCAACCGGTAGTTCATTAGGATCTTTTGTATTCGAAGTTAATTGTAAATTACTTTTTTCCTCCCCCACACACGTGGTCGGCCGAATTGATGATATTTTTGTAATTTTATTTTTTTCCGCAACACACGTTTTACAGCACGGTTATCTGATATAAAAATAGAGTTGCTTTTTCCAAAAACGAATAAAACAAAGCAATTCTGTGTATAATAACGAGTTAAAAGTTTACTCATTGTTTCAATTAAACAACTAGACGATTTAACTTTGCACCATTGCTTTGGCAATTATTTAGCACGCAATAAATTAGCGCCAAATAAAACAATAATTCTTCGTTTCCTCATTATTTGTCGTATGCGCTGTTGAATTACGCGCTATATTATATATATATATAAAATTTCATTTTGCATCCTTGCTCTCTCTCTGTGCGAATTTGAACATTTTATCGGTTTCCGGAATACGCTCGCTCGCAACGGGAATAGCTCGCAGCGCACCGGTTTTTCCCCGTCCCCGTTTTCAAGCGCCCGCCGATAATGTAATCGATGCCAATTTCAGTCAGGCCGGGCGTCCCGAGTGGTCAATTAAGATCACCGGGAAGCGGCGAGACCACATCGATGCGCACCCCGCGCCGTCGGGCACGGTCGGGCATCGGCGGCGCGGGCGGCGCGTCGACCGAATTCACGTGCATCTGCGCGCGTGTAACCGGGCAATCGCGCGCGCGGGGGTGGCATCGCGAGGGAGGGAGGAGGGCAAAAGCGAGACCACCGGGACGCGCGCGGAGAGAAGCAGGTAGGGGGAGGAAAAGGGTGCGACGCGCAGTAGGTCGCGCCGAGAGAAGCCGTCAAAATGTCGAGGCTCCTGCATCCAGCAGGCGCGGTACGACGAGCCGATGGTACGCGGCGGAGTGTCGCGGTGTGCACCGGGCTGATCGCCGGTCATCGATCCACCGACGTGCCGATGCGAGAGAGAGAGAGAAAGAGAGAGAGAGAGACAAGCAGGGGAAAGAGAGGAAAGAACGCGGCAACGCGCGAGAGAAGAGGGAGGAGGAAACGGTGCGACTCCGCTCCGTCGACGCGTGCGGATTCCGCGCTCCCGGATCGGCGGATGATAATGGGAGAATATTTAATTGGCGGTGCGCAGCGACGCGATTAATCGGTCGCGCACACGCGACGAAACGCGTCGTCGCGCCTGCCGACGCGCGTAATTGCTCGCGCGGACATTGCCGGATCGCGACCAGGGTTAATGGAGTCGCGATCGCGGCTTGTGCTCTGATAAGCACGAATAATTAAACAGTCACATGGAAATGGATTACGCGACAAGGCGGATGTTAAAAGTTACGCTCGTCAGAAACACTTGGATACGTACTGATACGATTTTAGCTTTTTTGGCCGGAACGAATCGAATTAATCCTTTTCGATCTGATCCGTTGCGACGCTCCCTCGAATCCGATAACCGGAAAGCGAATGAGGGAATGACAAAGAGAGAGAGAGAGAGAGAGGGGAGGGATAGAAAGAGAGACTGAGAGAGAGACAGAGAGAGGAAACCAATTATCGACTCAAAGCTGAATCCCTGAAGTCCGTAGTTTGCCGCTTGCAAAACTGCGTCGATGCGAGAACGTTGCACGAAGGCTTGAAGCCGTTGAAGAAAGCAACGACGAGGTGGAAGAGAAGAGGAGATTTTTGTCCCTTGTCTCTTTTCTTCCATTTTCCGCTCTCACACAGTGGCGGATTTAGAACCTGAAGAGCCCTAAGCGCGAAACACAATATACTCCGTCTCTCTTCTCGTACATAATAATTTAAATAATATTTAAATAATTCTTTTACATGTGTGTGACCGAGTATATTACAAGCTCAAACGCGATACCAACTCTGTACTAATACATATTGATACTTTTACAATAATACTTGCAACGTACAATGCAATCTCTTCGTAGAGAATCTTCGTTACGTTTTACATGAAACTTAATTAACTGTGTAAACTCTCTGTGGAATAATTTTAGGGATCCTTCGCGCCGGCGAAACACCGTTTATCGATAAATCCGCTACTGGCACCTCTACCTGGCCACCGTGTCCCGACACACCTCGCCGCGGGAGGGTGGGAGAGATGCGCCCTCCATCAACGCTCTCTCGTCCACCCCCTTTCGCGGCTCGTCGATGACGAAACGCACGTAAATTCGTCGCGGCGCCGTCGCCGCAGCCGCCGCCGCTGCTGCTGCCGGGTGAAATCAGTGCGACCGGAGTGCACCGCGAGGGAAGAACGCGGGTCTCCCCGTGTGCGGCCCCGCCGTTCCCGCTTGCGGCGCGCGCGCGCGTCCGCCCGCCCGCCTTCGTCCGGCTTTCGTTCGTATACTCCTCTCCACGCGAGTAGCAGCGACGCGACGTGACCAGACGGTGGGAAACATACGAGTTAAATAGGTCGTTGTGCGCGCCGAAACACCGGGAACACGTTTACGGTCGAGTAAACGCCGTTCCCCACCTCTCCCCGAACAAAAAACAGAACTACTCGAAAAGTGTGCGACCTTTTCGTTTGTTGTAATAAAATAAACATCAGGCGAGAACAGCGTGCGAAAAGTCTCGTTGTGACAGATAGACGTTTAGAACAAAATGTTTAGAAGAAAATGATACAACGTGATACACGCGCGTAAAAAACAAAAGTCTGTGAGTCCTCCAAGAGACGAAATAAAAACAAAAGAAGACGAGAAAGAAAAGAAAAATTGACGGGGAGAAGAGATCATTTTCGAAAAAAAAAAAAAAAAATGTTACGTTTTCTCGCTCGACGAGAAAACGGATTAATGTGGAGGAATTAAAAACGGTACCGCCTAGAACTGACTGATCGATGTGGACTAGGTCAAGTGCTTAATTAACAGCGGGAGCAAATTGGAGCGGTTGTAAGAAATGGGGAAACATTACGGAAAATTTGCTTAACGAGATTCAATTTGACAGGTGAACATTCGATTTCGTTGTCGTTCGAAATCGTTCGACGAGATATCGCTCTTGGGCGCGAAAAACGATCGATCGAAAAACTCGTTCTAAAATTATTCGCCAACAGAAGAAGTTTCGTCGTTCGCCAGAGAAAACGCGCGCGCGAGCAGAGAACAAGAAGAAAGAAAGAGAGAGATAGACACACTTGTTCGCGTCGGAAGGAGGAGAGCGCGAGAGGGGGTGCAGCAGGTGCAGCAGGAGCGCAGCTTCTGTCATCGATCTCACCACCAGCGCGGTTGCAGCGAGCATGGCGCGGCACACGCCGGACCACGTCCTTCGAAAACGATCCGACGACGCGACGTCGGGGCGCGTGACGATTGACAACGAACGGACGCGTTGATTCGACGTTGTGCCGATCTGATGATTCGTTAACCGAATCTCCTGGGAACACAATGACGAGGGTGACGAGAAGCGAACCGATGTCGACTGCACCGGCGTTAAAATCGCTGGATCTTTCCGACGGAATGCGGGAGAACACCGACCGGACACATCCTCCGAAGAGTCACGCGGTTCTTCCCGTGTAAAAAGCGCCCGTTGATCTCCTCACAATCGGAACAAGGAGAGAGAGAGGACAGGACACTGCAGGGTGCACTGCGCGGTCGCGCACGTCGGCCGCGCGCGCAAGAGAGAGAGAACGAGAGAGCGGTGTTTACATTCACGAGAGGCGCGAGAGACCCGCGAAATCGAGATATCGATCGGCCGGAGAGACGCGGATTCAGCGTCAAGATATTTGCGCCCTTGTTTGTTTCTCGCGCGCATCATCGTCGAATGCGTCGAAAAAGAGAGAAAGAGAGAGAGAAAGAAAGAGGCGCGAGACGCGGATCTCCGGAGAGATCTCCAATCGTGTCAGCTGGCGACGCGAAACGTGAGATCTCTCGCACGCCGTCCGCATGTGCGAGTGTTTATGTTTGCGCGATGTGCATCCGCGTGAGTACACGCGCGCGCGCGGCATTTTAGAAAACTTAAGAAAAATTACACGCATAACACACACAATTATGTGTATGTGTATGCGCGCGTGAGTTAATATCAGAACGAGACTGATATTAAATGAGAATTGGATATAATATAGCGCATCTCTCTTTATCATGAGAGGTATTAATAGCGAATTTGGAGAACGTCCAGAGAAAACAAGCGATTTAAGAGACAGATTGTTGCGTACGTGTTCACCGATCGTAGCCGATCCAAGTTCCGTTTTGCGTGTTGTTTACACGACGTAATCCGGACCGGAGGTATAGATATTTGGATCACGCGCGCGATGTCTGCGCGCAACAACAGAGATCTATCTAGGAAGTAGCCTAGAGCGTCAGCTCCTCCTCCTCCTCCTCCGTTTTGTTCGAAGGATCTAAGATCGATACGTGAGGGAATCGTACAGCGTCGCGCACGAAGATGGACTGCTGCAATTACATCGAAGCTTACGCGCCAGGTGGACACTTCGGCTATCAGCAGCAACAGCAGCAGCAGCAGCAGCAGTACTTTTGCTACGACAACAGCACCACGCCGTACACCGGCTACGACGCCGCGCCGAACTCCAACGCGATTGATATTAACGCTCGTTATAACGGGACGATACCATCGACGTATCCGACAGGTAGAGAGAGAGACCAGCGCGAGCAAAATGCTCGACAAAACTTGACTCGTCGTCGCGATCTTACTGCCTTTGTTAATACATTAGTTATATCTTAGATATATGTTAATTATATATACAGCGCTCTAACAAAAATAAACAGAGAGATGGAAAAGAACGAGATATGTCTTTCTTAGAGCGGACTTGTTGCGTGCGGTAAAAAAAAAAAAAAAAGTAAAACATAATATTTCTATTTATTTCCTTTATTGTTACATGTAAGATATCTGATATTGTTCGTTTTTTTTTTTTTTTTTTTTTTCATTTCAACTTGTTATATTTCAATTTGTTATATTTTCTAACATGTAGCAACACGATGTTTCGCACATATATTCTGAAACGCGTGAACTACGATTGTGACGTGTCGTTTTGGTTATTGTTATCTCTTTGTTCGTTGTTAACAATAATTGCGCAATGCATTTCCGCAGATTACGTGTACAACCCGAAAGAGGCGAGGCTGCGAAAGGCGATGCGCGAGCAGACTCGCGAACTGGCGCGTCGATCGATCTTGCAAAGCGCGATCGCGAACACGAGTCCGCGCACGATCGGCGGCGCATCCGCTGTTTCCGCATCGGTAGTCGGGAGCTTCCTCAACCAGCAGCAGCCGCCGCACCGTTTCGATTGCACGTCCGTGCCGCCGATGGGTCCGAATGTGAGCCCTCATCACGCGACCGACCCCTGGTTTCAGACCGCGCATCGCCTGAAATCGGTTCACTCGTCGCCGCGTATCGGCGACTGGTACGGGAGCATGTGCAGCGACCATCCGATCGAGAGGTTGCGAGCGATGGGCGCGATGCAGCATCACCAACAGCAACAGCAGCAGCAGCAGCAGCAGCAACAGCAACACGATCTCGAGAAACCCATCAAGGACCACCCCGCGCTTTATTCCAACGGTTATTCGTCCGCCGAGAGGGAAATCCGTCGTCAGGAATCCGCGGAATACAGCGACTTCATCGACGGAGGCCAGAAGTGGCATCCTTATCAAGTAATTTAAAAATATACACCCCGTGGCTGTAAAACTACTACTCGAGCTAAAAATCTCGACTTGTAAATTTCGCGTTCATTTTTGTCTCCGAAAAAATGTCAACTTACAAATTTATCACGTATAAATAATTTTTTGCAATGATTCTTTTTTTTTTTTTCAACGTAGAGTAAGTTTTTCAATTTATGTAGTTGAATTTGAATAAAGACTTTTCTTTTTAATAAAGTTGGATTCTTTTTTTTTCTTTTTTTATTGTTTAGCATAAGTCACTTGACATTTCTGTTTGCAGAGTAGCGCGAGCCCCCATCCGAGAGCACCCCATATGTCATCGCAAATGGGCGGCATTCTTCACCCGAGTGTTCAGAATACAAACGCGCATGGACACGATCCGTGGGGCCAATTTTGTCACGGCATGTTACCACGTAAGAGAACTTTATGCGTAAAGTATTTTTATTTTATCTTGTATTTATACATGTAGAGTTCTATTCTCTTGAGATTAAAAGGTTGGAATTGCAACTTTTCAAGGGAATTAGATGATACACCCAATATATTACGTGCTTTTTATTCGTACGCTTGAATGTGTCTTGATATAAATTTTGTGAAATATTTGAACGGCGAGCGCAATATATTTTAGACGTTCCGACTGTAGCTCGCAACTCGATGATGATTCGGGGCCCGAGGCACGCGGTTTTCTTGCGGGATCGCACGCCAACCAGACACTGCGCGTTTTCGGAGGATGCGTCGCAAATGGGTTACGTTGCGAGCAAACTGAACGTTGACAGTATTCGCGCGTCTTATCCGCCCGAGCATCAGGTACATATAGGTCAAACCTATTACAACACACCACCACTATGTCAGGTCGGAATTGAATTGAATTAACATAAAAGTTTTATATGATCAATACTCGATCTGTGAAACAAAGAATATATGCGGTGAAAAATCACAAAAACGCCGAATTCGGTTTGGGTTCAATTAAGATAATACGGAATTGTCGATGCAGATGCCGAGATTGCTGTCGGAATCATCTGTGGATTCCGTCGTAGACACGACGACGACGACGACTACGACGACAACAACGACGACAACGATGAATCGTCGCGATGAAGATGACGGGACCAGATGGGAACCGAACCACGTCACCGCTGGGATGCCTCTGGACGAACTCGTGCCAACTGCCTCGGTAAAATACTCGCGCGTACTCTTTTTCTATATCCGAAAATGCGCATCTGTTTTCATATCTGAGATTATTGAGCCTCAAACAATTACGCAGGAAGGTACGATTTCCCGCGAGAAGGAACGCGAGAACCGGCACTCGAGCGAGCGATTTGAGCCGAGGAAAAAACCCGTTTCGAAGCAGCCGCTTCCGGGTTTCCATCAAGCCTTTGGCTCCACGGAGATCGGTAGATTCTCCAGGTCGGAGTTCTTCGTCAACATGGTGGGTGAGAGCGGCGACGGCGGCGGCGATGCGAACGACGCTTCCGACGGTGGCGATCGTAACGACGTTACCGGCGACGTAAGTAGGGAACGTCCGCTGCTGGAGACGACCGAGGCACCAGTGGCTGCGGCAACGGCCGCGAATGTAGCAACTTCGGCTCCCGCAGCGGCAGCCACCGCGAATGGCGTCTTTGACGCCGAGGAGAGCAAGGCGACATTCGCCACCGGCGACAACGCCGTTGGCGTCCGACGGTACGCGACGCTAATGGTCGATCCGCCTTCGTCAATAAGCATTTCGTATTGCGGACCGCCGACGACGCCGAGCTGGCACAGTCCGCATGTAGGTGCTGTAGGTAGCGAAATTTAAACGAGTACCGCGATGTTGTGTACTGTCTCGATGACATTTGTTCAGAGAAAAATATTTAGAGAGAGAGGAAAAAGAAACAAACGCGTGTGATTTTTGTGAGCGAATTGATGAAATTTTGTATCTTTCTCCGGGATCGGAAAAAACTTAAGTCGAGAGTTTGTTACTTGTTATTATTGCAGAGTTTTCGAGATAATAATCGCAAGAGAAATATCGTTGACGACGGTACAGAATATTGCTGCGAGTCGACTTCACAATAAGACAATGTCTTGATTAGGTTAAAAAGAGTTCCCGCTCTTTCCAGTTCGCGTGAAGGATCACGATGAGATTCAGGGACGCTATCTTTGATAAAAGGGAGAATTTTAACTATAACATTGATGATTTTTTCTTGTTAATTTTCGGTGACAGTTTACATGTACGTTGCGTTATATCGAGAAAATTTGTTCAGGACGTAAAACCGTTAAAATTTCAATTTTTGCAAGTGGAAATTGTTTTTCACGTTGAAAGAACACGTAAAAAAAAAGTGACATTCAGATTTATCTGCGGTCAGGTGGTGATGAGAGAGCACCAGCGTATTCATCGTTCGACCGAATCGAGCGATACGTCAATTTTAAATTCCCAGAGAGATCTCTTCTGTATTCTCATGACGGGAAACCTTCGTCAGAAAACCTACAGCGCGGCTCGGAAAGAAAAGCGGGACACGCGCGTCATGCGTAGCGAATGCATCGATTAGCAAAAGCTGTCGGGGGATCGATGTTGGCGTACGAAACGTCCCGACAAACTGCAAACATTCGTCGAGATTGTGCCTTCCAGAGGATCGGGAACTCTCGTCGGGGGGATTCTCGTCGAGATTCTCTCGCCTTATCGAGAATCAAAGCAGCACGATACACGCAAACACACGTCTCGTATGCCAAAAAGGAAGATATAATCAAAAACAAAAAACAAAAAAAAAACAAACAAAAAAAAACAAAAAAAAAAATTTTACGCCGAGACGGTCCGCATCGCCGACTGGCGCGGCGTCTTCCATCAATTGTTGTTAGATGTCGTCGGCGTTACACAACGCCAACGGGGAGATTATTATATATACATAGATATATATATACATACATGTATAAATATTATATTCGTGTATGATATGAAGGAAAACGAATTGTGGCGCGCGACGAAGAGAGCAAGTTATTTAGTAGATTCCTTTAGGTAAGAGTACGTATTGCCGCGCGGAGAAACGATCAAATAAAAGTAAACGTCTGCGAGCGTAGGGGGGCCGAGAAGCCGCGACAGGTAAACGCTCTTCCGCTTTTTTGGAAAATAATCGCAAACGGAGGGTGTATACAATGGCTCGTGTTAAGAACTTGCACGTCCTGAACGTCCGCTCGCAACTGGTTTTTACCTTCTTTCAGCCTTTTAAAAATAAATTATAATTACATATTTATGTATATACAATAAATTAATAAACATTTATGTATATATAGAAATAGTGTAATATATATATATATATACATTGTACACTAATCTCAATACTGTGGTTGTTAAAAATCAATGTGAAACGCTTAGTGTAGTTAACTTATTTTTACTTGACGTTTTTTGCAAGCAGGTTCTTAACACGCGCCGGCATTGGTAATTTGCATTTAGTCTGTCGACCAGTTAATTCGGGAATAACAAAAATTCGTGCCGGATACCCTGTACCTATAATGGGACCAAATTGAACGAAAAACTCTCATGTCGCGTTCACCGTCGCGCTTACGTCCTACGTATGGTCGCGTAAGAAGCAAAAACAAAAACAAAAAAAAAATAAAAAATAAACAAAAAAAAAAAATTAAAAACGAAACCTCCCTCTCATTCTGTTCGCGCGATCGCTCGCGAGTGAAAGCAAATCCACGCTTCCGCTCCGAAATGTGGAATATAATTCTGCGGATTACACGTGCGCAAACGAGAAAAAAAGAGATACGTTATAAAAAATATCAATTGAAAATATATTCCACTTCTTGTGACGCGGAAACACGAACATAATCACGCCCGAGAACAGAACGTATTTAAACTGTTGTGTCGATTCCTTTTAAGCGTGCGTAAATATCATACCAGGAGAATGACGTTTATTAGCGTCCGTAGAAAGATTCGAGTAACTTGAAAAACACTCTATAGGTAATCTTCACACATACACGCATACGTACACATACACACACACACGCACACTGAAACATATAAATATGCGCCGTAAAGAAATCTTTTGACGTCAATGTACTGTGCATGTTATAAGAGACATAAATAATCTTTAAAAACGAAGAATACTACTTAATTAATCAGAAGGAAAAAAAAACAAATGTACACTGATACATAAATGTGTGATATAATATCATAAGCAACGGTAGCTAAAAAGTAATAAAACAAACCGACCTACAACAGACCTACAGCGCTCTATGTACTAAAAATACGTACCACAAATGTCAAAAAATAATGTCTTTGATATGTCGCGGATAACTGAAGACAACATTTATAAAGGTGCTTTTTCGGGATAAGAGAAAAAAACAAATAACGAAAACAACAATCTATAATCAAAGATATATAAAATAAATTAATAATAAAAAAAAACAAATTGGCATTTGCGGTATATAAATTGTCCTGTGATACGCAATATGGACAGGAAAATTTCATCGACATTTGCAAATATACTTTACTCTCATTCGATTGGGACGATCGCGAGCAGTATGATAAGAAATAAACGGAATATTTATGCGACAGAAAAAAAAAAAAAACGAAAGATGGTAACAGTCTTTGTCAGTGTGTTTTATTTTCCTTCAGTTGATCCCGGAAGCCTACCTGACGAATCCCTTGCTGTTTCCCTTCCCGCTGGATCCCCACAGCATTCTGGAAAGCAATGCCGTTTGCGGAATCGCGAGAGATGGACGATTGATATCGCCGCGCGTTTTGCCCAACCAGTGCTGCTGGTTCGCGCAATTCGGCCGCGCGATAACCAGGATTCCCGATGATCTTGTGGTAAGAATAATAATTGTTGGTGATATAATAATTATTAACGTCGCATCGCGCAAAATTGATAAAATTGAACAATAAAATTTAAACGCAACGTAAATTGAATTTTACATATCGAACAATTGATTCATTAATTTTTCTGAGAGTCTTAAAACTAATCGCCGCGATGAAAATATAGACTTGCGCAGCCTTGTTGGACTGTTCCAATCACTCGAGCGATAAAGAATGGATCCGACAGAGCGCGACGATTGCGTGCCCGATTGAATTTCTAACGCTGCTTGGTGATCGAAACGCAATCTGCGAGGGAACGATCGGCAATCGCGCAAATCCGATCGTTGTCGTGAATGAAACGACTCGCGGTCGTGACATTTCGCGAGAACACGAGAACGAGGTTGTCGATTTCAAGATCGATCGGAAGAGTGACTCGAATTTGCAAGAGTTCAACGACAAGAAGAACTGATGATTGGACAGACACTGTGTGTGGTAAATTAATATCCTCGTCAATAGTTTGAGATCACAGCTAGTTTCTTTTCAAGGTATATTTCAAACGTTTAATTTTTGTTAAGTACAATGAGTTGTGTGATATGTACAACAATTTATACAAATACAATTTCACCAGTTTCTCTCATGTTTTTAGATGTTTTTTTTTATTTTCTGCCAGTGTTTACAACTTGAAAGCGACTCGGAATGGAAGAGAAAGTCTCAAAAACTCACATTTTTGGAAGCTACATTATCTTACGATATCTTTTTCTACGATTATCTTACGATTTCTTTTATGTTTTCGATAAAAATGCAACTTATGACGTTCGACGCGTATAAACTTCTCGACGCTCTCCGAGAGTCTCCGACGAACAGAACAGTTCGTAAATATTGTAAACGCGAACAAAAATATCTTCATCTTATCTATTTCCTTCTAAGAGCGGACGCGGTTTATCAAAGCGCGATTGATGACGGCGCGCGGCGGCATCCCTCAAACGTGATGAAGAAAAAAAAAAAAAAAAAACAAGCCTCCCGACTCGTGTCTGGAAGCTACGCTTACGGCAGGTAGCGATAATAGTCGGGGATGTGGGTGTCATAAACGTCTTCTGCGGCCTTATGGATTGTTGCATAGAGATTGTTCAGGTTAAAATTTTTACGACACGCGCCACCGTGCATCGGACGGGAGAAACGTAGATCGTGTGCCTTCGCGCACATTTATTTCTTTTTATTTTCAAATTTTTTTTTGTTGAAAAGAATTAAAATTGTATATTTTTAACGTGTTATTGTTTTTCACGTGGTATTTTATAGCGACAGAGTTACAACCATCAGACAGAAAAATCTGTTACGAAAAAAAAAGATAACGACCACAACTGCGTGGTTATAAAAAGTGGATAAAAAATAAATACAAAATAATGCAAATGTGCGAAAATAAACGTCAGAGCTGGAATAATAATGTATAAATTATTTATATGACCGAGAAATTTATATTCTCCGGTTTTATTACTAACGTCACCACCGCCGCCGCCGCGTCCTCCTCCCGAGGATACACGCGACAATTTTGAATTTTGCAGCGCTTTCCCAGAAGATCTCGCACGATCGTTGATGTCATGCGGTTTCTGGCCCAAGGACCGACAACATGTTTTTTGCAAATAATCGCGCAAGATCTCAGTCGCGCTGAAAATTAGTAATTACCTTGGACCGCCTTCGTTCAATAAAGATGGCTTCTCTGCGGCGACGGCGAAACGACCGCGACGCGACGTTCCGCGCACGAAATTTCTAGTACAAATAATCGATAGGGTTATGGCTCTCTCTCTGTGTTTCGCGTCCCCGAGCGATTGCTGTCCGAAACCTTTCGCGATGGCAAACACAAGAAACGATCCTGCTCAAATATCTACTCGCGATGCAGCGTGCGGCCGCGCCGAACGGCGCTTGCTCTGTTGATTTTTGTCATTTGACTACAAGACGACCAACCAGTTTCCCGTCCGTCTTGGCTGTAATAGACGAGGAACTCTATTTTCGTAATCAATAAACATCAAAATGATCACGCGAGCGAGACAAATGTCATGTTTGAGGTGGTGTTTCGGAATTGCAAAATTATAATTTGAGAGAGAGATAACGGTGACAATATTAACGAGCGTGATGAGAAAAGTGACAATATAATCATATTCTGTACTTGTAAAGAATATTGAAACTCTCATAATTGTTTATTTGTATGTACAATGTTTTTCTCGGTGTGTCAGAAAAACAAGTAAGCGAGCGCTTGATCTAATACAGAAAGAAAGGAGCAAAATCAGTTGACGAACTTGTAATCAAGTTTGCAACAAAAAAGTTACTCGTCAGAAAGTCGCTTTTTCTGTTCAAAAGATTTCGCAGTGTATCTTCTCTTCACGAGAACCAACAATACTCGTGACGATTTGAATGACAAATATTTGAATAAAAAAAACTGGAGTAACCAAATGAAGACAAGACATTTGTGCGCACCAAGATTTTGGTCATGGCGCGTTACGAAAAAGCAACACTTATCTCTCTCTTTCTTCCGCGAGGAACAAATACGTGTAATACTTTTCTGAGAGCGCAACAGCTCTCTATACGCGCGTAAATATTAACTCGAAGAGGTGACACACACGCGTCGCCTCTTCGCGACACAAATTCACGATGACTTCACCACGAAAAGAAACACTTTCGCTTGCCTCTCTCGGCAAATAATTTCCCATACGCGACTTACGTTTCCCGATCGAGATTGATTAATTAATTCACGGATCGGCATCGATCACAAAAATGACGACGCGCGAGGGTTTTTCGATTACGGGGAGAACACATGCGGATCCGTGTACGTCGTCCGCGAGGACTAATCGAGAACCGGACGACCGGCGGACGTGGGCGGACTGGCGAACACCTGTGTTCACCTGCGAATCCACCAACCGTGGTGGATTTGTGAAACCGACTTGTTCATTCATTGGCCGAGGAATCAGTCGAAGGCGGTACCTACTGTCATTACGACCGGCCGACCGAACGGATCGTGCTCGGCCAATGGACAACGCCACGACATCGCCATACTTGCAACCGTGGGTTTCTAATTTACCGAGTAATTAGCACCCGGCGAACGCGAGAGAGCTGGTGCCTCTCCTGGTAGCGGCAGCGCACCCGTCCAAGAAGACCAGCCCAAGACCAGAGAAAGAGAAAGAGAGACAGGACACAAAGTGCGGACAAAGAGGCAGATATACCGCCGGTCAGTCTTCGGCGAGTCTTCGCCAGCTAGTGTGAAATATCGCGCCCAAGTGTTACGAGTGCGGAACCACGCGCAACGCGACTCCTCGCGCGACGCGGGTATCCTCCGTCGCTGACGAAGAGACACATCGTCGCTGCAGGTATCGGCCAAGAAGAGAAGACGAGAGATTTTCCATTCCCTTCCTCCCCGCCCGCCAAAGTCGCGCCGTTTTTCTCTCGCGACACGTCGCAAATTCGATTCGCGAATTGATCCTCACAGTAGCGACGAAAAAAAAACCAATCAACCGTCACTTCACCCTCGTTGCCCAAAGTTTCCCTTTGTTCAAAGAAGAATATCCGTGATTAACATGTGTGATTCCTGATTTGTTTTTCTCTTCCGTTACGTACATGTTTATATTGTTTCGCATTTTTTTAGTTTTCAATTTATTGAAAAGTGCGAAAGAGAAGAGAACGTCGAAGAGATGCAGCCGGCGACCGGTCCGCGTTCTCCGAACCGTTCTTCGTGCCACGAGCGCGACAGGGAGCACGAGAGGGAACGCGAGCAGGAGCGGGATCGCGAGCGAGAACGCGGTGGAAGACAGACCCGGACGAGTCCCGAAGACGATCGAGAAGATCGCGATGAGCGAGGTTCGATCGCAAGACAGAATCTCGGTCCGCCTGCCGCGATCTCGGGTAATCAAGGACTGCCGCTGTCATTGTCGCTGGAGGACCGGGAACTATGGACGAGATTTCAGTGCATTACGAATGAGATGATTGTCACGAAAAACGGAAGGTACGTTTGTTCCGCGCCGTTATACGCGTGTGTTCGCGCGATTGCGTTCAAATAGATATTTTGAAGTTTGGATGCAAAACGATAAGAAGAGATCTTTGTGCAATTTGAAACTCACATAGGAAAGAAATGCCGCGATTTTTCTGCGCCGAGAGAAGTAGCAGCTGCGACAATTCTTCTAAACCCGTGTTTGGACTTTATAAACAAAACTTCCGTCGCGTAAGCTGTAAAATATAAAATACGTTTATATTTAATTAACGAAAATGTGCGTATGTATGCGGGACTATGCAGTTATAGAATACGTCGAAACGAACGACGAACGTCGATCAAAAACGTGGAAAGATAGAGTTCCCCGAGATTTTTGTGGGAAGATCCGACCGTCGGGCAATAAAACTTTACGATGCTTACGATCCTCTTGTAAAACGTTCTCCTGTCGAGTGAATGCCTGCGAGCGAGCACGTTTTTTTTTCTTTTACCTGCATATCCGCAGTCTCGACAAACCGTAATCGCTTTTATTAATACACCGCCCATATAAATGTAGTCGCGTTGAAAAACACACTGTCCACAAAGCGGTTATCTCTTGGATCCGCGCCGTGAATCGCTGTCGATTTCTCGAGGAAGCTGCAGATCTCGACGCGCTTCGACATTCGTCTCACGGTCGAAGCGTAGTTATCACTGGTGAAATCTAGATATTTTTTTTTTTTTTTTTTTGACGAATGATGGTAACGTTTTGTGCTCGACTCGAACGATTTTGTATGTGTGCGAACGCAAACTTTTGACAAAGAATTGAATTACACAAAAATGACGTCTTTATCGGATTTTAATTTTGTTCGCAGGAGGATGTTTCCGGTGGTGAAGGTCGTTGCACGTGGTTTGGAACCAGCGGCCATGTACACGCTGTTGCTGGAATTCGTGCAAGTCGATCCACACAGGTATACCGACAAAAAAATAAAAAATAAACCGAAAACTATTGTGTAGTCTTGTTAATCCGCGTCGAGAGAGATGACACAATGCACGCATCTTCATGTGTTTTATGTGATAAAGCAAACTTTTATTTTTAGATGTCACAGACACAAGGAGACAGAATTTTTATCATCTAATTTTTAACACAGCATATATAAAATTATATTTATTCGCGTATTATGTTTGCCGGCAGTCGTAAAATGCATTTTAAGATGCGACTTGCGAATTCTCAAATACATACGATCTGGAATTTAGCCGGGCCGCGGCAATTAAGCGGTCTGTTAATTAACAGCAGGTCAGAAATTGTGTAAATTGCACAGCCGCGCGGTGAAAGGCGCGGGATCGCGAAATGTTGCGTAGACGGTAAACGCACAATGTGCGAACGCACGATTTGCGTTGATTTATTTCGCGAGCAGAAGCCGCGGAACTAGAGGGGGAGGCACGAAGGACACTAACAAGTCGTAATTACCGTACCCCTTTCGTTCAAAGTATCACGTAACATTGCTAAAGTCGATCCTAAACTTGTTAGAACGTTATTTTTAACTCGCCCGATGATTCGTCATTCGATGTTGAACAAATCGAGCGGTAACAATGCGAGAGCTTTATATTCTCAATGGCTTTCACAAAACAATCTCAAAAAAGACGACCCCCCCCCAAAAAAAATAATAGACAAAAATAAATGCTATTGTGTTTGCGCGAATATTTCAAATATTTCTCATCGAATATGGATCGATTTTGTGTTGGATATAAATAATATAATACGTATCTCGATAAAAATTAATGACAGGTGGAAGTACGTGAATGGAGAATGGGTGCCAGGTGGAAAAGCCGAAGTGGCCCCGCCGAATCCGATTTACATACATCCGGAAAGTCCGAACTTCGGAGCACATTGGATGAAGGAAGCGGTGTCGTTCGCCAAAGTCAAGTTAACAAACAAATCGAACGGTAACGGACAGATCATGCTGAACTCGTTGCACAAATACGAGCCGCGTGTTCACTTGGTGCGAGTGGGCGCCGAAGAACAGAGAACAGTATGTATTTTTTTTTTGTTTTTGTTTCTTTTTAAATATATAAACAAGATTCGGCCGACACGGTAATTCAATCGAGAAAGAGAGACTCCTTTTTCTGCAAAAAAAAAAAAAAAAAAAAAAACAAGCGGAAGATGCGGGATAACATTTCACATTTTGGCCGCACACTTATCTATTATAAATTATTATTTCATTATTAACATATTTATGTAGGTTCTCACGTATCGTTTCCCTGAAACGCAATTTATCGCGGTGACTGCCTATCAGAACGAGGAAGTCACGAGCCTGAAGATCAAGTACAATCCGTTCGCAAAAGCGTTTCTCGACAGCAAAGAAAGACCCACCGATTCGCAAACTTATCCGCAATGTGAGTTGATGCGTAAATGTAACAAAAAAGTTTGCAGAATTTTAGAAGAGAGTGAAGAGAGAGATAGAAAGAGATGTGTTTCTTTAATAACACGTGTTTCACAGACGCAGGCGCATTGTTTCTACCACAACCTACAATGGGATATGAATACAATACCGCATCGGCGATCGCCGCCGCGCAGAATCAAGTGTCAGCTTGTGTTAGCAATCATTTTTCAAATTCGTGCACCGTTACCACCTCTGGACACAGAAGTACCTGCAGAACTGCGCCCTACACCTTGAGACACAAATACGCCCAAGATGGCACGTAAAATTACTTTCATTGCGTTAATTAAACCTCAAAACACTTAAGTTACAACTTACCTATCAACACAGTCACTGAATTCTGCGTGATTTTTTTTATATTTTTCAAAAAATTTCCATATTGTTTCTTTTTCACAGAACAACATGCGGATGCGTACACGATGCCGCTTTTACATTCCACCGCTTATGTGACAGCTCCAGCTTGGTCACCGCGCAGTCCAGACTCGTTGCAGAATCTCAATTCCGCCTGCTTACCATCAGCTGCATCGCAAGAGTGGCCATCGTCGCCCTCGGCGTCGCCGACCTCGTCAGCACACACGGTTTTCGGTAGAACAGTTGTAGGCACAGTTTCCAGCACAACTGCTGTAACTGGTTGCACTCTATACGTGCCTTCAAACTTATCGTCCCAAGAACAGCACGGTGGACACGGTACCGATCCATCTTGGATCCATTCCACCGCGTTAGACCAGCAACAGCAGCAGCAGCAACAATCATATCTAAATTTGAATCTCCATCTACATCACCAGATGTCTTCGGTTCCGTACAATTCCATTCCGCATCACGGTTTGCATCCGCAAAGCGGAGATCCTGTTGCTTCGGACGCAAATGAATATGTCCCGGAATATCATCATGCTTCGCAGTCCACAACTTCCGATCAGCATCGACATCACCCTCAAACGCAGATGTTACACTTGCAGACGTTACCGCAGACAGAAACTTCTTCGCCGGTTAGTGTAGAGTACGATAGTCCACCGAAGGAACATCCTCACATTCAAATGGGTTATCCGGAGCAAACCGCGGACGCTTTAAACGAGGTTCAGCCGGATGATGACAGAAGATACTTAACAACGGTTGTCGATCGCCATCCTCATCACCAGCACCATCATCATCACACTCACCATCGACAGGAAACAGAGATCGCTGGCGAACAAACTACTTGGACGCCATTGACACCACCACCCGCACCACAAACTACCGCCATTTGACTCGAACTTGTTGTACGGAGAAATTTTGCATTATTACAAGCGAAGACATATCTTCGAGCTTATGCGTCGTGAATAAGATTGTTGCGATTGCTGTAACGATGTCGAGTTTTATATATAAATAATTCCATCGACACTAAGAATATATTTAGTGCAGTGAATATAAGTCAAGGGAAAAATCGCGTGCAAAACAGATAAATATATGCAATTCTACCACTCCGTCCTAAATACTGTAGTATTTCAATTATTTTTAATCAATTGCCAAAATATTGTTAATATTATATATCAAAAACTGTCAAGAGAAAAAAATATATGTATATATCCACATATAAAATGCGTAGACAATATTCACCTTTTTATACGCAAAATGTATAACTCTGATTTACAAAACAAGCCATCCAAACTTTATCCAAGTTACACTGTTCAACGGTTTTAACTACATTTGAAGATTATTCAAAAAATATCATCTGCTATAGTAATAACTTCTTCGTTTCTACATTATCAGCTGTTCATATATATAAAAAAAAAAAGAAAATTTCTATATTTCCAACAGACAGTAATATGCAATATACAATGTATCTTATCATTTCAAGATAAAATTCTCACTTGTTAAAATTATGTCTTACACGTGCGCGCTAAAATATTTTCTAAAATTTGAGTTACATCGTTTTTTCAAGGTGATCAATTTATAAATATAGAAATATATACAATATATAGATTTTTTGATTAGGTATGTAGTTGATCGAGACATATATCAGCTCAGCGAATGTCTTCTGTCAAGATTGAATATCCTTCAATTTATAACAAAAGACAATCAATCTACATTTTTCCCACAGTTTATTACAGTTTTCAGTCTGTTCAATACATTCGGGATTCGTTCAAAGAGCACGCTATTAACATTAAAGTGTTGTATTCTTATTTATTTGAGCAATAGATAAAATGACACTTTAGCATCAACATGTGCATTTTTCAACATAACTCGAAATACAAAGCATCCACAAGTTTCAAAAAAGATCTATATATAAACATGAATGCTACTATGTGTTATTACTGGTGCTTTAATATTGTGACTGTTAGAACAATGATTTTAGTGTTACATGTAATGATATATCAGTGTGAATATGCAATGTTTTTCATGGTTTCAATTGACATTACGTTCAGAAACTAAACAGTTGTACAACAATTGAGATGAATTCACTTATGGGCTGTGTTCCCCAAAATTCACTCCCAGCGCTAAAGATCTATAGTTTACGTCACATATATTATACAAGTTTAGCACTGGCAGCAATTATAGAACACAGGAATGATTGGATCATACTTTTGGTACCAAGGCTGATTTTGAAAAATATCCTATCACAGTTGTTGAGCATCTCTTAAGTTATCTGAGAACGTAACTCTATATAGTAAAATTAAACAATACACAATTTGTTTCACTTAGTTCAATGACAGTGCTAATGATTTAACAAATGCAATTTTTTACAGATTTTCAAGAATTTAGACTATTTGTGTGTAAAAGACCTCTGTACAAATACAAATGAAGTTTTAATATTGTGGTTAGGTTAGGTTAGGTATGATACGAATCAAACACAAATTTACATATAAATAACTCGCAGAATGCCAGATGTTGCACATATACATGTCAAATTTTGTATAAAATACTAGCAACAAATCTAGTTAGTAGAAAAAAAAAGTTGTTGTTATCTTTAAAACTGTCAACAAACATTTTCTCTCTTTCTCGCTTAATTTTTAAACCATTAATCTAAGTTTTGTAAATTGATATAAAATAGCAGCATTTTTGTACTTTTATTCTAAATATATATATATATATATATAAAATATAAAATACATAGTACGCTGCTCTAAGAAAATATATCTCCTATTACAGTTCTTAACCTACTTTATGTGGAGACATTAAAACTAATCTAATTGTCTCAATCCTTGCACAATTATACTTTTATATTTCACACAATATAAAATATATACTTATTATATCTCAAGTATAAAACAAAAATGATATACATATACACACAGCGGATAAAAAATATGTTTAAATGACTCTAAAAAGAAAAGATTAACAAATGATTAATGTAAAACAACTGTTTTAAAGTCCCCACAAGTATAAAAATATATAATGAACACTTGTAGTGATTTAAAAAGTATATAATAGACAGTGCGACAATTAAAAACCAATAAACTCTTGTAATATGTTTGTTAATGCTGTTACTGACCTAACATCATATGTATACTGTGTTGATTTATTTATATTTAAAATAACAAGGTTGGGACTAGTATTATTTAGACTATCAGTAGTGGTTGTTAAAATAGAATTCTCAAAGTTTTCAATAGAGCGAAATGGATAATGACTGTTTTCTGATGTTTTTTGCCATTTGCAAAGCAATCTTTTCTTTGGTGATAGGTAGTTTTCTGTCTGATTATTGGATGTAAAATTCAAATTCATACAAGACTTTTCTTTGTTTATCTGTTCAGAATCCTTTTCTGCACATGCCAAAATATTTGTTTGTTTTGTAACATTTTTTTGTTGTCTACAATATCTTTTTTTATCATCATGGACTTTTTCCCTGTGTTCATAAAGATCTCCTTTGGTAACGAATTGCTTTGCTAGAAATATGAATTTTGGTTCTAGATATTACTAATAGAAAAAAAAGGAAACAAAATATGAAAAAATATAAAATGATACAGTAGTTCTATTCTTTTTCGAATAAGAAAACCTTCATTTTGTAGAAAAACAGAGAAACAGTGTCATAATAGAAATTCAGTTTCACAAAACAAACAGGCAAATATTTTCAAAAAAAACTTTGGCTCTTTCGGCACAGTTTTGTTTTAGACATAAATATAACGTAAAAGTATCTAAGAGACCTATAACTATAAAACAAATTGTATTTTAATAATACTTACAACAACTACCGCATTGTTTTGGTATCTTTAGTGCTTCGTGAAATCGCTCGTAATGCCTGGTAGCATTATATCGTCTGTCAGATTTCATATGACATTTTGTACAATAGTATAACACTATACCATCCTCGTTAGTTTTTTTAACATACTCTTTTACGTTCTTGGGCATATTCAAATATTTTTTATTTTATCGGGGAATTTAACCTGCACAAGAGCAAAACTCACAGTATCATAATTTATACAAACAAAAAATTAATAATACACGTATAATAATAAATACTTCTTTAACTTTACCTGCGTGAGAAATGAACTTCCTACGCTTTCAGCAACCGTATGTCACGTGATTTTATGGAAGTACTGATGATCAGTTCGGGCACAAGTAGAACGCACGCGCGCGATCAGTTGTTACCGCCCAGTTTTCCCCTTCTTTTCTGAAATGATTCCGCTTACCGCACTCTCTGATCTCACGCCGCCAATAAACAAATCGGTGACGCGATCGACCGACAAAGGACCGTCTAAAGTACTACTGTGGAATTATCGTCGTCGTCGTCGTCGTTTCTAACAAACATTACCGATCTTTCTTTATTGTTTGTTTGATTAAAGTTTAACTCGCGTTTAATAAAAAGTTGTTATGCAGAGTTTTACATAGCGACTCAATCACGTTATCGAACTTCTCTTTGAAATTGCAGATGAATTGTTTTAAGAGAAAATAAAATATTAACATTTTAGCGCGTTCGTATATCGATTAATGAAAAATAAACACTTTAACATGATCCAAGAACAATGATTAAATAAAACACAGAAATTTTTCAACTTGAAAAAGTTCTACGCGTTTATTATCTTCAGTCTGCTACTTTTTAAAGACGTTTTTGTTTTTACCTACACGCACTTTATTTTTTTAACTATACATGTATGAAAAATAAGTACTCTTGCATAAATTCACGAATGTGTAGATCGAGAGTCGAAATTATTCTTATTTCTATTTTCTGTGCTTTTTACTGGTATTTTAATTCTCATTTTAATCCGTGAACTAGAATTGTGGCGTAACTTATTTTAGTTTTGTGCATTTTACAATTGTGCACTTTGATTATGACAGAAAGCAGCGTAGCGAAATAAGGACACATGAGAGAATCAGTGTGCGCGTATATGTGCGAAAAATAAAATAGTATTGAAACACAAATGGGTAAAAACGATCTTTTTCATTTTTTATGTAAAAGAACAAAAGTGAAAAATACATACCATTCAGTCCTTTACTCCCGCACAGACATGATCGTCCATTAGACATCTAATGAACATCTGATGGAAGTTCTTCTAAAAATGAGGTTATGACGAAATGCTGTTCCACGTGAACGTGTCTTTTACATCAAAAGAATTTATCAAAGAATGAGAATTTTTCCACCGTGCGAATGTAGTACCCGTAAGAGTACCTTTTTCGCGCTCCTATTGCTTCGTGAAAGCTCGTGCGTGTTCGGCGATATTCGGCACGTTAGGGAAGAGCAGTCGCATCGCGCCGGTCGAAGGGCCGAACGCATGTGGCGGCACGTAGTGTTGGTGAAGGCGAAGAAGGACGAAGTGCTCCGAGTCGGCTCGATAACAACGAGGCTGGCGAGTTTCGGAGTCGCGAGTGCGCGATAGTCGATAGTCGCCGACAGTTGAAGCCGGTCGTGCGTCGTCGGTCGAGCGTTGTGAATTTGGCGGACTTGCTCGTCATCGTGCATCACGTTGCGCATCGCGTCATCGCGCTCTTTAACAAACGCTTGTTTTAAATCCCCCCAACAAATAACACGACCGGCACGGACGCGATATTGTGCTTCGTTTAGTGCGCGAACCGTGTGTTCACGAGTGTCGCGAGTGTGTGATTAAATAAAATGACCACGGCTGTAGGAGAGATAAGCCCGCGTAGCTTTGACTGACATATCGCACGGCAACGGGGACGACTCCGGAGTCCAACGTCGGTGAGTCCAACACATTCGTCTATTGTACGATCGTTTGAAATACTCGAGAAGAATGCAGAACGTCTGTCAGAGACGTCTTTCAAAGACGCTTTTGTCGTTCGTGAAATAGTTCTCCTTTTCCCGATTGTAAAGATTTATTGACTCGAGGTTTTTCTGCGTGTGACGTCACGTGTTTTCTCGAAGGGAAATCTCGACGATTCTGTTACATTTGAAGTTTGGCGCGTATCGCTCTCTCGATGTGCGATTATCGTGGTTGCGTTCAGAAAAGTCAACAGTTGCTACGTTTTGAGAAATTTATCACTTGCGATAGAATTCCGGACTTATCACGGTTCCAAAAGTCAGTTCACAAATGACGAGTCTGTCAGCCGTTGTGTGTTTTCTAAACACCGGTTGTAGACACGCTCCGATTTCGCTGAGTAATAAAATAGTTTTACCGATATGTTTATTTAAAAAAAATATATATATATATATTTGTCCGCGTAAAGTGTTCGCTATAGTAACGCTCGGTTTTGTTTTGAATTCTTTGTGCGTTTTAAAAAGTTAGAGCAAAAAAAAAAGAAAAAAAAACATTCCATGTGACAGGTGATTCGTAATCACTTCGAAACCTTTTACATTCGCAGTCCACATGAAAGTACATGACACAGTTCTCGTTATTCATCCGCGGGGAAAATGTACGCGCGATGGAAATGGTTTTATTTTCACGATCGAATGGATCTAGGTTCAAAGGCGAAAGCTTCGCTCCGCGAAAGTCAAACTTGTCGCGGTCTGAAAACGCAACCTATGTTGTATAATCAACCCCTTATGTCGTGCTCGTGTCGCTACGTAAGGCATCGCAAGCATGCAAAGCCACGAGCACACCTGTTTATATAGGTCGGCCTGTAGAGCAACGTTATCGTTCGGGTGTCAAAAGCGGCTCGTTTGCGCGCGAGTAGATTGCGCGCGATTTTCTTTATATTACGAATACATTTTTCGAACGAGAGATAAAATATCCCAAGCTGAGAAAACACGTTCCAGAGATTATAGTTGAATTGAAAAAAAAAAAACAAAAAAACAAAAATAATTTCAAAGATTCCTTCGAAGCGAACTACAGCGCGTAATTTTGTAAATTATGTTAATCGTTTGAAGACGGAGATTAATCACCTCGAGTATTTCCAACGTGCGATTACTCTTTGCGTACGCGTGAGTCGGAGAAAAATTAAAACGTTTCTTACACACGCGCGCAAAAAAGAACATATATTTTATCATCGTGAGAAAATGTTAAGAAAATAACAGTTCAAGTTTTGAATATTTTAAAAAACACTTTAGTTAACAATATGACGTATTAATGCAGATAACAGTTTCAAATAAATTGTTTTCCTATCGTGTTTCTCTAAAATATTTTTATTAAGTCACACACAGAGAGGGAGGAATATATAATTTCTAGAAACACGTAAGATTGTAAAATGTAGCGTAAGAAACGTTGCGTTTGGATCGAACGCAAGTACGTAAATAACAGCTATAATGTTTTCGAAAATATAGTTTACATAGCTTTCTCCACTCGTTGGGAAATTGATAAGATGTCATAAGCACCAATTGATAAGATTATCGCGAATACGCCCTAAAAATCACATGTATTGTAAAACGAGGCACGAAATATGTATCTTTATCTCTAATATGACGACGGAACACACGTGAGATAGAAGTTCCGATCGAATTTATAAAACACGAAACGAACGTATACTTTGATAGAAAAAGGAGAGAGACGGCGAATGTATTACGGAAGGCAGCAATTTTCATAATCGATAATGTTTTCGCACACAGACACGCACACAGTGTCTGTTATTTCAAAATTTATGTATCAACAACTTGCGTTCTATTGAACGTACAAAGCATACCAGCTGTGCAGCATGTAATGTTATTTGCGCATCGTTATTTTCCGGTTTTCTTTCGAATTTATCACTTGCGAAGGAACATAAATCATTGCGGTTAGTGTGTCAAGCTCGTTTTAACTGTCGCACATTTGTGCGTTTCAATTTATTTAGAAAAAGATTTATACGTTTTATTTCTATTATTTATAATAAAAAGAAATTACACACTTAAATGTAATAAAACTTAAAATTTAAAAAATTGAATTTTAAGTAACTTTTTTAGACTTTGAAAGATATAGAGAATTTTAGTTCTTTGTTAAATATTGTTTTCTTTATTAAATAATACAGAAATGTGTTAAAATTTTCAAAATTGCATTTAACGAAAGTTTTTATTGTTGTTTCTATCGTTTGATTCAAAAAACAATTTCTATATTTTTTTCCCTCACTTGCAAAATTTACATCTCATTATTTTATTTGCTTGCTGCAAAGTTTCGTCTAGCAAGTTGAAACAACATAAACACAACTGTACGTGCCAAAGTAAGCAATTGAATAAAAAAAAAAAAAAAAAAAAAAAANTCTCGTTTTCTGAAAATGTTTTTTGTCGCATGAACGCGAGTGTTATATTATGTGCATAAAGTAACACTGATATAAAGACGTTTGCGCAGCGCGTAAACACAACTGTACGTGCCAAAGTAAGCAATTGAATAAAAAAAAAAAAAAAAAAAAAAACAACTCTCGTTTTCTGAAAATGTTTTTTGTCGCATGAACGCGAGTGTTATATTATGTGCATAAAGTAACACTGATATAAAGACGTTTGCGCAGCGCGTATACGTCGCGGTAAAAAATTAGAATGACTCCAGGTACGATCGTAAAGAGAGTCATGAAACAATTGTAACGGCCGACTTGCTTGAACTTTGTGTCTCGCGGTATCTAGCACGTTCATGACCTAACCGAGGTTGATGCTCGCATACGGCTTGCCACTACCGAGTAGAAGAGACGTGATGCGCGTTTGCATTCTGTATAGACATTTGCATACTATGTGTACAATACGATTTGAAAGCATTTGTGCTTATGTTAGTACGCGATATGTGCTACGTTTATATTTTGCGATTTATTTTTAAATATAATCGTCAATGAAAAATGATAGTTTAATTAAATAATTACATGATGAAGTTTTATTTTTTTTTATATAATGGGAGCGTGTTAGAAGTACAGCAGGTAACTAAAGAATATTTAGGCGTATTATGTTAATGAATGCACTGATTACTCACATGTTACACACATATATTAGTTGACTTGTGTCAATGAAACGCGAACTGTTATTTTCGACAGTTTCAAAATCCGGCAAATTATTTCGCGCGGCGGAAATGTTAACGAAATCTATGCAAATTGTTTGATTATTATGCATAGCTCACATCACGGTCGCGTGTCCTTTAGGATTAATCGCAACTCGCGCAAAAGTGCGCGCACGCGCGCGCGTGAAAAATATCACAAACAATGACAAGTTTCAATCGTTACGTATTTATTCGAGCACGTTTAATTTAATACAGCGGATGCTTAATTAATGTAACGCGCGCAAACACAGTCGGAGCAGTCGGACGAAATGAAGAAGGGGAGATGAAAGCGCGGCTAAATTTTCTCAATTACGCGTGTATATGCGCGCGCGCGCGCGCAAAAGTTCATTGTTGCAATAATCCCGGAAATATTCGTTGGTCAATCGATCGTAATTAATCCGCGACAAGAGAAAGAGATAGAAAAAGAGAGAGAGGGTAAGAGAATACAGAGCGTAACCTAGGGATAAAAAAAAAAACAAACACAAAAAAATCAAACTTCCGTGTCTCGTCCACGGATTCGTCGGCCGGATTCATCGGTCGGGTTGTTCGGCTTGACATTCTATTCTTTGAAGGATAAATGCAGGAAAAAAGTTTAATTGAGATCGCAGCGACGATGTGTACAGACTCAGCGTGAAAAATAAAATGTAGATACGTGACGCGATAGGATGTAATCAAGAGCGACGGGGATCCCCTCTCTGCCCCAAGTTCGCACAGCCTGAGCTTCATTCAACTTTAGAAGCGAAGCGCAATGCATCTTTAATTAAATCTCCGCTCTCGGCCGACTCCGTTTCAGATTGAAAATATATTCCTCGAACTCTCCTGTCTATCTTGTTTCTTCGCGACACAAAGAATAACGATCGCGACCCCGCGACACGTGTGCGATCAAAATTGGACTGGTGGCGAGCTCGTCGCAATGCTGTACGCGCGTGACAAATTGGTTCAAGAACGTCCGAGATCATCTGTTAAAGTTGCAAACGTGTCTTAAAAATTTATTTGTACAAAAAATTTATTTTATACAAAGTTTTCACATAGATAAGTATCAAATTATGCTTCCGCTTTGATCTTTGATGAGTGGAATTAGTAAATCAGGTTTAGTGGTAATTTTCACGAGAAAGAATATATATATCACGTGTGAAATATTGATTGTATATATATTTTAAGGAGTCAAGATCTGATTATAACAACGAGATATGTAAATACAATCGCGAAACGAATGACGCGACGTACGATGAAATATAAGAAGAGCAAATGTACGTTGATAAGTTATTTTACGATTTTTTGTCACTTTAATCTTTTTTTTTTTTCTTTTTTAATTGCCACCAGTCGTAACGTCGTTTCACCGAAGACACACAGAAGATTACTTTGTGTCCGAAGTGTGGTTTTCCGGATCCGAACGACTTCTTCTCGCGCGCGTTGCAAATCTAAATGCACAGTCGGAGTTAGTCGGAAATTTCAAAGCGGATTCTCGTGTAGGGAGAACAACTTCATTTTCCTTCTCTTTTTGTTTCATGTGTACACGCGGCTTAGTTGCATACACATATATGTATGTATATACATATATATATATATATATATACACGTACATATGTGTATACATATGTATATATATATGTGTCCGCCTGCTCGTAACAGTTTGTCCTGTGTGATACAGATGAACTATTACCACATCCATCCCCTCCCCCCGTTCTTCTCCCCCTCGGGCATCTTCGCGCAGTTTCCCTTGAGTTTATATCATTTCCGCTCTGTATCCTGGCTCCGTACCCGATGATACGCGGACGATAATGTCCCTTGTCACGATCGTTCTGCACGTTAAGCGTGT